ATGCTGAAATTCCACGTTCCCTAAGGGAAGGAACCGATTTCTGCGCTCTGGAAGTCCAGTTGAGGGCCTCCTGGGCCGTCTTGGGGGCCTCTGGAGGCCATCTGGGTCCTTCTTAGAGCGCTCTTGTGCTGTCTTGGGCATCTCTCTCTTCGGCGTCTCTGATCATCGCTCTGATCGCTTGGCGTCTGCTGGCCAGACCCGGCTAGGCGCCCTGGGAGGTCCCGGACGAGCTGGGGGTCCTTTGGCAAGGATGTTTTGGGGGCCCGGGAACCCAGGATCATAGGGGGTTCGGTTTTGGGCGTGGAGGGGGGGGGGTCCCACCCCCCTGGCTTGTGAAAATATGGGAAGAGGAATAGAGAGAGAGAGAGAGAGACGTGCGTCTTTCTGACACGGCTGATGCGAATTGTGCAGGACGTAACCTTCCATCCGAAGCCGTCGAACCTAGAGAGGGGATCCAACCATTACATCGAGCGACAAAGCTCCTCGTGGAAGGGCGTGGGCGACTCAAACCCACAAGGCAAGCGAATCCATGTTCTCCGAACAGGTCCGCCAGCCCCAGTTGGGGGCTCAGGATCCAGCAACTCCCTGGCAGCATACATGGAGCCGAGCCTGGGGATAATCTCAGTTTGGCCACTGACAGCAGGCTCGCCACACAACATACAGCTCCATCCCTTGCAAATTCTCCACATTGTGCTTGCACTAGGGGTTCTTAGTTCTCTTCTGAGGAACTGGGCTGGTATGTCAGCAATGTAGCCGCCTAGTCGCCGCCCGTCGTCTAGGCTTCTGTGTCGTTCTGGCGGCTACGTAGCCGCCATCTCCGCCCCGTCACCGCCTCGTCGCCGCCCGTCGTTTGGGCTTGAAGGCCGGTGTCCGTCCCGTCGCCGCTTTCGTCTAGGCCTGTCTATCGGTCTGCTGGCTAAGTTGTCGCCGTCGCCGCCCCGTCGCCTCCGTTGCCGCTCGTCGCCGCCGTTAGACTGCGCCACATAGATTGCTCTGCGTTGCTTCGCTTGGCGTTGCTTTGCGTTGCTTGGCATTGCCTGGCATTGCTATCTGTTTACCACATGGCGCGCATGTCGAAATCGTTCGAACGTCCTTGCGCGCGTGCCGTCGCGAGAATCCTCAGCAAAAAATGGGACGACGTGCACTCGCGCGCGTCGTCGCGAGCGCGCATGCCCATATCCGTCAAAAGCATGTTGGTTTCGTAAGGATGTCAAAATCGAGTGTCACAAAACATAATAAACACATGGTTTCGCAACGCCAGTTTTCAAAAACACGTGCGTTCGTGCTCTTGCTAATTATGAAAAGAACCATCGTCTTTCCAACATATTCATGGAATTCTGCCAAACGGGCCTCCCGGCGCCGCGTGCCGAAATCATTCGTACGCCTTCGCACACGTGCTGGGGAGGCACGATCCATGTCAAGTAATACCATGCGGGCCATTGTCGAACGTCGGCCGCGCGCGCATGTCCAATTCCTTTTTTCAAAACCTTCATCACCGACGCGAGGACGCCGCCATCGTCGTCGGCGTGATCCGCATCGGCGCCCGCACTGGCCGCGCCGTCGTCGTTGTCAACATCGCCACCAGCATCGCTACCATCATCGTCGTGTCTACCGTTGTCGACATTTGTCGACGTTGCCATGATACCGCGCCCGCCCAAGTCGCCGACTCGCCCTGAAGTGCCCGCTGGGATGTGCCCGCGGCCGCGTCGGCAGCGCCGAACTAGTTGGCCGCTGCTCGCGCGTTCTTGGGCTGGCGCGGCCGCAGAGATGCACCAGCCAACGCCAAGCACTCATCGCAGTCGCCATTGCATGGGTTTTGCAAGCCAAACTGCGGGTGGGTGCGTGGGATGTTTACAAGAGCGCGGAATGCGTCAATTCGTTTGTAAACAATCATTTGCACTACTTAGACAGCACCACATAATTTGCACAACAAATCTTAAACTTCGTAGACATCATAACACATATTGCACCACATTGACTGTTTCACATAGCGTGCACAACACATGTTCAACCGCATACATTTACGCTGGAATGAATATTTACCTATTGAAGCGCCAGCGGCGACAAACAGTTGGCGAGAGAGCATCGGCGCCGCCAGACTCACGGCGTCTGGACAAGATGCTTGCAGCAGCTGAGGGTGAGGGCAGGTGTGTTGCGAAGGCTTTACGGCCGGTGCCGCCGACCCTGAAGGGGGACGACGACGACTACAACGACGACGACGACGACGACGACGACGACGACGGGGTCAGAGTCCTCAGGGGTTCTGTTTGGGGTCTGTTCGGAGCGCTTTCGGAGGCCTCTGGCGGGCAATTTGGGGGGTCCCTTGGGAGCATCTTGGAGGCCTCTTGGGAGCCTTTTTGGGAGCCTCTTGGAGTTTCTTGGGAGCTTCTTGGGGGTCTGTTGGAGCCTCTTTGTTGGGGGCCTATTAGGGCCTCGTGGGGCTTTCTGGGAGCCTCTCGGGGCGGATGGCTTGAAATGTTCGGCGTCGCCAGACGCACGGCGTTTGGACGAGATGCTTGCAGCAGCCAAGGGTGAGGAGAGATGTATTCATGTCGGGCGCGACCCGCGTGCAGGGAGGATTACAGGGGCCAGTGAAACAGCGCGTGACCTGTCCGTGACAGTTCGTAACAGCGTCGGCCATGGGTGTGTGCATGTGTATGTGTATGTGCATGTGTACGTGCATGCGTGTACGTGTATGCATGTATGTATGCATGTGTGTATGTATGTATGTATGTATGTATGTATGTATGTATGTATGTATGTATGTATGTATGTATGTTTGTATGTGTGTATGTATGTATGTATGTACGTATATGTATGTATGTATGAATGTATGTATGTAAGTAAGTAAGTAAGTAGGTAAGGATGGATGGATGGATGGATTGATGGATGTACGTATGTACGTACGTACGTACGTACGTACGTACGTACGTATGTATGTATGTATGTATGTATGTATGTATGTATGTATGTATGTGTGCGTATGTTCACGCATATGTATATGTAAGTGTTTGTGCACATATATATATAGATATGTGTGGATGCGCATGTGTACACATATGTGTATATGTATGCTGGTTTTATCAATGTGTGAATGCATGTTGTGTGTATACGTATATGAATATGTTTACGTACACAACTGGATGTATGGGTGTACAAATATTTCATTGTAAAAATAGATAATGAGGTCGTCGCTTCAACAAGCCGCCCTAAAGCATTCGACCAAACCAAATTGCTCAGCACGAGGAGCCGTTTGCTTAGGGCTGTCCGCAAGGCCAGTGCAAGCGGAGTCTCAATCCAGGTCTTAGACAGACCAGACGGACGAAGCTCCAAGCTACGCAGCGAAGCGTCGACTGGCTCGACCACCTGGCTTCCGGCCCCATCAGCACTATAGACCCGTCCAGGAAAAGGCCACTCCCGCACAGGAGGAGGTTGAGGAGAAAGAGGAGCAGGAGCAGGAGGAGGAAAGGATGATGTTGTGGAGAAGGGCTGGGGAGAAGGGGGAGGAGAGGGGAGGAAAGGGGGAGGGGGCCAGGGAGGAGAGGAGGAGTGCGGCGGAAGGGGTGTGACGCGTCGAGCCTTCGCTTCCGTGGCTGGTCTAAAAACAAGATGGACGGGGAGGGTTGGGAGGAGCAGCAGGAGGAGGAAGGGATGATTGAGGAGTAAGGGTGACGATCCCCCTGGGGGCCTCTTGGTGCGGTCCTGGGGCCTCGTGGGCCGTCTTAGAGCGTCGGGAGCTCGAAAAGTCGAGGATTCCAAAATCATTGAAACAAGCTTTGGAAAATCAATGATGTGGGCTTCCGGGGGCCCTCTTATGAAGGCTCTTGGGGCTCTCTTGGGGCGTCTCGGAGGCCTCTTGGGTCGTCTTGGGGCCACCTTGAGCATCGTGGTGCGATCTTGTGGCGTCTCGGGACCCTCTTGGACCATCTTGAGGGCCTCTTGGGGCCATCTTGGGCCCGAAACCCGTGAGATTCGGCAACTTCGTGGTCCTGGCCTTTTTTTAAAATCTTCAGGAGTGAGGGCTGAGGTTCAAAGGATTAGGCAAAGGAGCTGAGAGCCCGCCCACTCAGTGCCATAAGTGCTCGATCATGGACCCTTGTTGAACGCAAGCAGCCAGCGTTCACGCCGAAGGCCGCGGGAAGCCGCCGAAGCCCGCGGGAAACCGCCGGAGACCGCGGGAAACCACCGAGGACCGCCGGAAGACCGCCACAGATCGCCCGAGGCAGACGGGTAAAAAGGGGTCCGTGGTCGAAAACGTAGCGTGCCTAGCCGCACGGTGGCGGATATCAATACGGAACATTGATGATGAGCCCCTCTTGGAGGGTGAAGAAAGAGGGAGGATGGAAGAAGAAACGCTCTAAATAAGCCACCTCAGCTCAGAGGGCTGGTGGGATTGAAGCCGAGGTCCCAACCTCATGGAGCGGGCGGGAAAAGAAACAGATAGGGGGGTGCGGGAAGGAAGCAAATAGCAGCAAGTTCCACATGATTCAAAGCGAGGACCCAGTAGGACAACGCCGCGGAGAACCCCAGCGGGCATCCCTCTGACACCCAAGCGGCGGACACCAAGGGACACCTCACTTGAGCAGCAGAAAGAAGCACCGGGACACCAGAGTGAAATACAGCGGGACACCGCTGAACAGCGGACACCACGCCAGGCACACCGCCAGAGGAAACGGAAGCAGGCGCAGGACATCCAGCCCACGGGCGCCCCAGAGGATGTCCACAGCGCGCGCGGCTCTGTGCGCGGGACACGCCAGGCACGAGGCAGGGTTTCTTGGCGGGGCGGGGCCTCGCACCAAGGCCCTCACGCCCTCGGCTTGAGCCTTCGCTTCCTGATGCCTTCGGCCTTCAGCGTTGGGTCCTCTGGCACAGGGCCTCCCCCCCGTATCGCTGCAGAGGGGCCTTAGGCTCCCGCTCCTCCTCATCACCGGTCGTCCCCCTCTGTCCGTAGGGGCGTGGCCCCCCGGCCTTGCTGCTCCGCGCTGGAGTAGTTTTGCCAGAATGTGCGCGGGGGACTCGGACGCCGCGGCGCTCGGCGCAGCGCAGTTCGACAAGGAGATCTTGGGCAACCACGGGGCGACTGGCCCACGGGGCGAAGCATCGACTCCCAATCGCCCATCTCCGCCAACTGGGGCCGCGGCTTCGCATTCGAGGGCCAGTCGCCGATCTATCGGCAATGCATCGCCGATTCCGAGCCAGTGCTTCCCCCTCTGAGCCAGCACCCCCCCCATCGCTCCCCCTCAGGGGGAGGGCCGCTTGACACAGTGGCGGCCCTCCCGCCCGCCCTTCGTCCGCTCAGAATCGGTTCCTGGACCCCTCCCTTAGGAGATCGCAAGCATGGATCAGGGGGACGATAGGGGACGTGGATTAGCGACGGGTCCCGTTCCCATGGGAAATCGCGGATTTCCGCCGCCGAACGCGGCGGCACCGGCTGCAGCTTGGGGAGGGCACCTCCCCCGATCCATCGGAATTGGCGACCGCGCGCCAAATCCATGGATCGCTAATCCATGTTTGCGCGCCCCCGACTCCCTGGGTCCCTGCTGGCACGTCTTCTGCGGCGGGCCCAGCCGTGGCGACGAGGAGCTTCCGGGAGGCCCAGCAGAGAAAAAACCAGAGGCGCCGGGGAGGGCAGCAGCCATCTCGACCTGCCACCTGCCGGGCTGGCCCCCGATGGCGTCGCTCCCCATCAGCCAAGGCTTCCCCCCCTGAGCCGGTCGCCCCTACAGTGGAGGCCCATGCTAAGAAGCATCCTGCTTGCCTCCAGGGTGCCTTGGGTTTCTTGGGTTTCGAGATGTGGTGTTGCCATGGAAAGCGTGACGTTCCCATACCAAAAACCAATGGGCATCCTGGGGTCTCAGGGTTGGGTTTCGTGCGGAAGGTTTCTTGTGGTCGGGCCCCTACTGCATCGCTCCCATTCAGGGGGAGGGCCAGTTGAGACAACGGCGGCCCTCCCGCCCATACCAAATCCGCTCAGCCCGCCGGCATCGCTCCCCCTCAGGAGAGCACCCGCAGGGAGATCACCTTCTTCGCGCACCAGCCCGGCGCGGCGCGGGCCCGAGAGAAGAAGCGGCTGGACGGCCTGCGCCGTTGGTTCGCCAGCGGCACTTGCCGGCGCGAGGAGGCGGTGAGACGAGGGAGGGAGGGAGGGAGGGAGGGAGGGAATAGGGAAGGAATAGGGAGGGAGGGAGGAAGGGAATAGGGAGGGAATAGGGAGGGAGGGAGGCAATCGAGAGGGAATAGTGAGGGAGGGAGGGAAGAAGGAGGAGGGAGGAGGAATGAGGGAGTTGGGAGGATGGAGGCGGGAGGAGGGAGGGAGAGAGGGAGGGAGGAAAGAGGGAGGGTGTGAGGGAGGAGGAGGGAGGAGGGGAGGAGGGAGGAAGGAGGATGGAGAAGGGAGACTGCTGCTGCTGCTGCTGCTGCTGCTGCTGAGACGTCAGAATGCGTGCCCCTCTGATCTAGCGGGAAAGGTGTTGTTCAGGACAACTTGATGCAGAGAAAGAAACAAAGTGGCAAGGAAACTAATGAAGGAGAGAGCGTCAAGCTTGCTCCTCCGCCTCGTTCAGTGACCACGCCTCACTCCCCAACGGGAAAGGCGGAGGAGGGAGGGGGGATGAGGGAGGAGGGAGTGCCTGTAGTGTTTTGTGTATTGTGTAATTCTGGTGCTCTTTAGGATACGTAGGCAGAACCCTGATGGCTCGTGTGAGGCACATGGCCTTTCACATCCGCGGAGTCAATGCTCTTGAAGGTTGGCATGGCAAGCCTTCTAGTCCTGGAGTCTGTTGCAAGGACCGTTGTTGGCACCTGGTCTTGGCGGATGGCATGTGCATTCCGCGTGATTACCTTGTGGCAGCCACCTCTGTTCAACGCTACTATACAGGCCTTGCCGCCAGGCCGTGACCGAGGGGTCAGAACCACAGCGGGCAAGAACACAGAATCGCCAGCATTGCCGCTGGGCTGCGTAGGCGCCTGGGGGTGCAACATCCTCGGGAGGACGGGGCCCCGCACACGGGGCCCTGCGTGAAGGGTCGACGCGCAGGGCGCCCAAGTCCACCGCATGAGGGGTCGTAGCCCCAGTATAGAGGGTCAACGCGTGAGGGGCCAGCGTCGCCCCAGTATGAGGAGTCAGCGCTCGGGGGGCCAACGGTCCCAGAATGAGGAGCCAAGCCTGGTCAAATCATTGGTGGTCAAAGCCCCATGTATGATTGGTCAGCCTCAGATGTACATCGCATGAAAGGCCACCGCCCCGGTATGCGGGGACAACGCAGGAGGGGTTGCAGCCCCAGGATAAATGGGGAAACGTATGAGCGGTCAAATCCCCAGCATGGGTGTCAAGCACGGAGGGGGTGGGTGTCCCCCCACGTGAGGGGTCGACCCATGAGGAGTCAAAACCCAGTATGAGGGAGGAAGAGGCGGAGGAGGAGGAGGAGCAGGAGCAGGAGCAGCAGGAGGAGGAGGAGGAGGCGGAGGAGGAGGAGGAGCAGGAGCAGGAGCAGGAGGAGGAGGAGGAGGAGGGAGGAAGAGGAGATGAGGAGGAGGAGCAGGAGCAGGAGGAGGAGGAGGAGGAGGGAGGAAGATGACGAGGAGAAGGAGGAGGAGAGGAGCAGGAGCAGGAGCAGGAGCAGGAGCGGAGGAGGAGAGGAGGAGGAGGAGGAGGAGGAGGAGGAGGAGGAGGAGGAGGGAGGAGGAGGAGGAGGGGGGGGGGGGGGAGGAGGGGGAGGAGGGGGAGGAGGGGGATGCAGAAGGGAGTAGGAGGAGGACGAGGGGAGGGAGGGAGGGAGGGAGGGAGGAGGAGGAGGAGGAGGAGGAGGAGGCGGACGATGAAGTGGAGGAGGAGGACTAGAGCAAACCTAAGACGCATCAACGACGTTGCAGTAACCCCTCCTCCAAGTTCACTCTTCACAGGCCCCTACAATTTATTTCATTGCGGGAAGTGCCCAATTGGAAGGCAACCGTTGGAGAATCCTCAAACGTGCCAGAACACAGTTCGTGAGACGTCAACGCCGGAAATCAATATGACTGTTGCGTTCTGACAATCCTAAAGCGTGGCGGAACACCAGTCCTGGGAATTCAACTTCAGGAATCAACGTGACGGCTGCGTCGTGAAATCGTAAATCGCACGAGAACACCATCCTTGGGATTTCAAACACACGAATCGTTTAATTTGTTGCAAACTTGTGAGACTAAGGTGCACGTCGTTAAGGCGCAACCAACTTTTTGAAAGGAGCCGCCCTCAATGTTTTTGAATTTGTTGTAAGCTTTAGACGAATGCGCGCGGCGCTAAGGCGAGAGCCACACTTTGAACACGAACCGCCCTCCATTACACCTCTTCAATCTGTTCAAACGAATGTGCGCGGTGCTAAGGCGAGAGCAATATTTTGAAAACGGGAGCATGCGCAGGGCATAGCGAGAATGAGGGAAAAGAAGCATGGAGAAAGGATCACGACCAACATTACTATAACGGCGATGCCGTGCCGTTTTGGGGCTCTCTGGGACTGCCTGGAAGCCCTTTCGGATGGTTGTGGAGCGATTCTGGAGCCTCCCAGGCGGCTTCGGACGCACAGGAGACCGCCGTCTTGGAGCGTCGGGAAGTCGAAAAGATGAGAACCTCCAAATCCACCAAGAACCATCAGAAAATCATTGATTTTGCCTCTTGGGGCCTTCTTGGGAGTGCTCTTGGAGGCCTCTTGGGACGTTTTGAAGCGATCTTTGGGGGTATGACGGCTTCTTGGGGGTCGTCGTGGACCGTATTGGGGCACTCTGGAGTCGTTTCAGGAGCGTGCCGGAACGCCTGGAACCCGTCTGGGGCTGTCTTCCGGGCTCTCGTGAGGTTCTCCCGGATCGTCTGATGGGTTGCCCAGAGGTCCAGGGAAGGCCAAATTCGTTAGGGGGGGGGTCCGCGTTCCCAGCGCGATAGAAATATATGAATACAGGTGTATATACACATTTACATATACGTACATGCATATATGTATATACATATACATATACATGTACATGTACATACACATACGCACATACATATACATATGCATAGTCACGTCCGTACACGTAAACATATGCATACATATATATATATATAGAAGCATACACTTACATAGACATTTGCTTTGACATAAACATAGACATCGACATTTCCATCTACGTATACATTTACATATACATATGCATTCACACAAACATAAACATATATACACCTATGTTGAAGTACACACTATTATATGTATATGCGCATAGAGAGAACGCACATTATTTGTTGCGAATTGGTTTAACAAACGAGTTGACATATCTCACGTTCTTGCAAACATTCCACCCACCCACCCACACACCCACCCGCAACTTGGTTTGCAGAACCCATGCGGTGCCGATTGCGATACATGCTTGGCGTTGGCTGGTGCATTTCCGCGGCCGCGCCAACCCTTGCGCGCGCAGCGGCCAGCTAGTTTGGCGCCACCGACGCGGCCGCGGTGGCGCTGACCGCTGGGCACGTCCCAGCGGGCACCTCACTGCGAGTCGGCGACTTGGGCGGACGCGGTATCATGGCAACGTCGACAATGGTCGACACGATGATGATAGTAGCGATGCTGGTGGCGACGTTGACACCGACGAAGGCGCGGCCAGTGCGGGCGCCGATGCTGATCACGCCGACGACGATGACGGCGTCCTCGCGTCGGTGATGAAGGATTTGGGAAGAGTTCGACATGCGCGCGCGCGGCCGACGCGCCAGAGTGGCCCGCATATTTCTATGTGGCACGGATCGTATCCCCAGCGCGTGCAAGGGCGTGCGAATGATGTCGGCATGCGGCGCCAGGGGGCCGTTTGGCAGAATTTCATGAACATGTTGAAAAACTATGGTCTTCCTAAAAATGTGTAAGAGCGCGAGCGCACACTTTTTAATTGATGTTTCGAAACCAGGCGTTTTTGCATGTGTCTCGGACACTCGGTTGTGAAATCGTTACGCAACCGCCAGTTTTTGACGGATTTCGGCATGTGCGCGCGACGACGCGCGCGCGCGCTTTTCGTTTCATGTTTTGCAAAGGGTTCTCGCGACGACACGCGCACAAGGGCGTTCGAACTATGTCGACATGTGCGCGCGAAGCCCGTTTGGTCGGATGTTCTGAACGTTCAAAAACCGATGGTTTTCTTACGGGTTCGCGAGAACGCGCGCGCATCTTCTGGGTTTTGAAAACCGTGTTGCGAAACCATACGATGTTGTTTGATTTTTGGACACTCAATTTTGGAATCGCTACGAAACCGAAGGTTTTCGAAGGATTCCGGCATGCGCGCGCGACGACGCGCGCGTGTGCAGTTCGTCCCGTTGTTTTATGTGCAAAGTTTTCTTGGAAACTCCTGATTTTTGATCAGCGAGTGCGCGCCCACATGTTTGTTGCAGAAGATGATAGGGGGGTGTTGATACAGGTCTGGTTGGGATGGTATGAGTTCATATTCAGGATGGATGATGGGACAGACTCGTATCTAATTCGCATGCGGATAAGGGGGGACGATCATCCCAATGGGGGTCGAGTGTATTCTCTGTTCAGAAAAGAAAATTGAGATTCAAAATATGGAATTGCCAATTCTATTGTTCACGCAAGCATCCCACCCACCCACCCACCCGCAACTTGGTTGCAAAACCCATATTGTGGCGACCGCGATGAATTCTGAGTGTTGGCTGGTGCATATCCGCGGCTGCGGTGGCCCGCGCATGCTCGCGCGCAAAACGGCTAGCTTGTGTGGCGCGATCGACGGGGCCGCGGTGGCGCTGACCGCTCGGCAGTTCCTAGCGGGCATTGCAGTTCGAATTGATGATTTGGAAGGACGCGGTATCTTGTCGACGTCGACAACGGTAAACGCGATGATGATAGTAGCGATGAGGATGATATGATGACGCCGACGACGACAACGGCAAGGCCAATGACGGCGCCGATGCTGATCACGCCGACGACGATGACGATGTTTTCGCGTCGGCCATCAAGGTTTTGACACTGAGTTTTTCTTAAGACGAACGAGCGCGGCGCTAAGGAGAGAACCGCATTTTGAAAACCATCCGCCCTCCATTGGTGAAGCTGCTGTCAGCTTTCAGTTTCAAGAGCATGCGTGGTCAGGAAGTCTCTGGCGAAACGCCCGGCCCGCCCTTCCGACGGGCTTCGGAGTGTGACAAGGAAGAGTTATTCACAAGGAAAAAGGAATGGAGGAGGAGGAGGAGGAGGAGGTGGAAGAGGAGGAGGATAATGGAAGGAGGGAGGAGGGAAGAGGGAGGAGGAGAGGAGGGAGGGCAAGAGGGAGGATGGAGGAGGGAGGAGGGAAAAGGGGGAGGTGGATGAGGGGGAGGAGTAGGAAGACGAGGACGAGGTGGCCTCCTCCTGCCCCCCTCCCGCCAGGCATGCGCTGCACCCGGGAGGCGACCTGCCGAGGCCTGCGGCGGCCGTTCCAGCAGGCTCTCGGCACGAACGAAACGGGCACGGAAAGAATGGGTACGACGCCCATCAGCAGTTCCTGTTCATTTTCAACAGGACTCGTTGTCGGCGTCGCCGCGGCTGTGTCCATTTGAGACAGAAGGCCGCCTGCCCAACATCGGCCGCTGTTGGTTTGGGACGACATTTGTTGCTGGGCATTGCACCCATTCTTTCCGTACCCATTTCAGGTGTCCAAAGGCTCGCCGCGTCTGGGTCCCACCTTGAGGCCCAGAGGGGGAGTAGTTGCGGGGGTGCCCCCGGGTCACCAGGGGCAACGTTAGGCGAGTATCGTAGGTTCGCGTCGTGTCGACTGTGGGTTTGGGGGAGGGGAGGGCTTCTTAGAAACAACCCTGCTTCGTAGAAGGCGCGGGGCTGATCTATAAATGTAAGGCCTGCGCCTTCTAAGAAGCAGCCTCCTAAGACGCCCTCTCCCCTCCCTCCAGACCCTTGTTCGCACCGCCAGGGCGGACTCAGATGTGTGTGGGTACGGTCGGTTCGCGTCGTGTTGACAGGCGGAGACCCCGCCGCCGGCGTTCAACGTTGAACGCCGCCGGCGACCAAGAGTCGGTCGACGTTGAACGATCTGACGTTTCGGAAACGGCCGATCGTTCAAGGTTGAACGACCCCGCGGTGCCAGAAACCAACGCCGAAGTTGGCACGACACGAACCTGCTGTAGACTCAGGGGGGGATGCATCGACGGTGGGGGTCGTTGATCGACCCCGAATCGCCCGTTCATCGCCGATCGGGGCCCGACAGCCCATTCCGCCCAGAAACGTGCGGTTTCGCTACCGGGCACCTGTCGCCGATCTATCGGCGATGTATCGCCGATTCACGTCTCCCCCCTGAACCGGTCTCCGCTGTCCGTCCTCCTCAGAGAGGACGAGGGCCAGTCGAGACAAAGGTTGCCCTCCTTCTCGTTCTTCTCGTCCTTTTGGGGGCCTCCCGGGGGCTCCTCGTCGGCGCGGCCGGGTCCGCCTCGAAGAATGGCCCGGGATGGACCCTGGGAGGTGCTCGGGGGCAGAGTTTGAGCAGATCTTGGCCAGGTAGGAGAGCCGCCGTTGGCTCAAGGTGTCTCAAGTGGCCTTCGCCGAATGGAGCACCAAGGCAGGGCCCATAACTATCCGATGTAATCTGACCGCGGGGGCGCGAAGATAATCGTGGTTCGCGCGTCGCGGTCTGGACCAGAGCGGCTGCCCTTCTCCAGGGGGGCGGCGCGAGGGCGCGACGATGATCGCGCCTTGCGGGGCGCGATGCGCGAAGTTAGGCGACCTACCGTAATTAGGTGCGTGCCAACTTTCCCCGAAGGTCAGAGTCTAGTGTAGGAGTCCTTCGCCCTCTCGGGGACGTCCCCTGGGTCTCCTGCGAAGAGCGTCCGTCTATTTGCGGCCGGCCGCCGAGGTTTCAGCAGCGGCCGTCCTGCGTGTCCCCGAAGGCGGCCCTCGCCGACCTCAGGCTCGACACCCAGCTGGCCCTGGAGCCGTCCAACGCCGCCCCGCTGAATTGTTCCGTTCCTGCCCGAGTCCGGCGCCACTGTTCGTTTTCGGGGCCGCGATGTTGATCCCCCGATGTCTTGTACAGCACGGGTGCCTTTCAGTGAATGTCTGCCCCCACGTGTGTAGCTAGTGTGCCTATCGCGGGGCAGGCGTTGATGGTTGGAGGCTCCGTCATTTGTTCACTCTCATTTTTTCCTTCCAGAAAAATGTTAACCAGCGTGGACCCCCAAACAGTGTGTTTCTAGCACTCTATGTGGTGCAACATATGTTGTACAAACTATGTGGTGCAACCTATGTGGCGCAATCATTTTCTGTTCGCGGTGAGTTGTCAACTCCGCTGCTCGCGCAATCATTCCACCCACCCACCCGCAATTTGGCTTGCAGAAGCCCAAGCTGTGGCGATTGCGACGAGTGTTTGGTATTGGCTGGTACATCATGCGGCCGCGCTAGCCCGCGCATGCTCGCGCGCGCAGCTGCCAGCTAGTTTGGCGCCACCGACGCGGCCGCGGTGGCGCTGACCGCTGGGCACATCCCAGCGGGCACTGCAGTGCGAGTCGGCGAGTTAGGCGGGCGCGGTAACGTGGACAACGGGAAACACGAGGATGATAGTAGCGATGTTGGTGACGATGATGATTTACGACGACGGCAAGGCCAGTGACGGCGACGATGCGAATCACGCCGACGACGATGACGAAGTCCTCATGTCGGTGATGAAGTTTTGGAAAGAGTTCGACATGCGCGCGCGGCCGACGCGCAAGAGTGGTCCGCACTGCGTTATATGGCGCGGATCGTGCCCCCCAGCACGCGCGCAACAGCGTTCGAATGATTTCGACATGCGGCGCGAGAAGCCCGTTTGGCAGAATGTATTAACCATGCGAAAAAAACGATGGTATGCTTAAGACTTCGCAAGACCGCGAGTGCATTTTTGTTATTGTGAAAACTGGAGCTGCAACACCACGTGTTTTACATGTTTTCGGGGCACTCGATTTTGAATTCTGGACGAAACCTAAAACTGCTGAAGAATTTTTGCGTGCGAGCCCCACGACACGCTCGCGCACACTTCGTTCCGTTTTTTGCCAGGGGTTATTGCGACAGCATGCGCGCAGGGGCTTTTGAACGTTTTCGACATGCGCGCTCGAGAGGTCCTTTTGGTAGCATGTAATGAATTTGTTGAAAACCCGATGGCATTATACAGCAGCTGTTTTTGAAAACCCGTGTTGCGGAACCATGTGTTTTTGGACATGTTCGTGGAATTTGATTTTGAAATCTCGGCGAAATTTCCAGTACGTAATGGATTTCGGCATGACGTAAAGTACTCTCACTTTTGCAAGGGTCTTTAATTTGAAAACTGATGACTTTTGGTAAACGAGTGTGCGCGCATAGCATTGATTGCTGTGGATGAAAGGTGCGGGCGGGTACCGGTTGGCCTGGGATGGTGCGACTTCATTTTCAAGATGGACGATGGGGCAGAATCCGCATCATCAAATTGGGCAACCATCCCACCCACACACCCGCAATTTGGTTGGCAAAATTTGTGTGGTGGCGATTGCGATGAATGCTTGGCGTTGGCTGGTGCATCTCTGCGGCCGCGCTAGCCCGCGCATGCTCGCGCGCGCAGCGGCCAGATAGCTTGCCGCCACCGGCGCGGCCGCGGTGGCGCTGACCGCTGGGCACAGCCCAGCGAGCGTTTCAGTGCGAGTCGGCGACTTGGGCGGGCGCGGTATCATGGCAACGTCGACATTGGGAGACACGAGGATGATATTAGCGATGCTGGTGACGATGGTGGCGATGACGGCGGCAAGGCCAATGACGGCGCCAAAGTTTATCACTCCTGCTGATAACGATGACGATGTCCTGACGTCGGTGATGAAGGTTTTGGAATGTGTTTGACGTACACGCGCGGCCGACCCGCGCGAGTGGCCCGCGTTGTATCTGTTGACATTGATCATGCCCCCCAACGCGCGCGCAAGGGCGTTCGGATGAGCTCGACATGCAGCGCGAAAAGCCCGCTTGGCAGAATCTGATGGCAGTGTTGAAAACCCGATGGGTTTCCCCAGGAATTCACTAGATCGTGCGCGCCGGTTTTTCGTTGTTTGGAGATTCCCCTTGCAAAACATTGTGTTTTTACACGTTTGCGGGACACCCGTTTTTGAAATCCCTACGGCACCCAAGGTTTTTGACAGGCTTCGGCATGCTCGCGCAACGACGCGCGCGCGTGCGCTTCGTTCCGTCTTTTGCAATGGATTATTGCGACAACACGCGCGCGCAACGGCGTTGGAACAATTTCGACATGCGCGCCCGAGAGGCCCGCTTGGTAGCATCGGCGCTTCGTGGCCTCATAGGGACCACCTGAGGCCCCAATGGTGGTGTCCATATGCGTCTCCCCCACCCAGCACGCTCAACAAGGAGCTCGCTCCACATAAGGCCCCAGCGGCGGTGTCCACATGCGTTTTGTCCCACCCAACACATCGCTTCGTGGCCCCATAAGGAGCCCCACCTAAAGCCCCAGTGGCGGTGTCCACATGCGATTCCCCCACCCAGCACATCGTTTCGTGGCCACATAAGGAGTTTCCCACCTAAGGCCCCCACGGCGGTGTCCACTTGCGTCTCCCCACCCAGCACATCGTGTCGTGGCCCCACAGGGAGCTCCACCTACGGCCCCACATGCGTCTCCACCGCCCAGCACACTGCTTCGTGGCTCCATAGGGAGCCCCACCTAAGGCCCCAGCGGCGGTGTCCACATGCGTCTTCCCCACCCAGCACAGCGTTTCGTGGCCACATAGGGAATTCCAGCTGGAGTTCCAACGGCGGTGTCCACATGCGTGTCCCCCACCCAGCGCAGTGCTTCGTGGCCCCATAGAGTGTTCCACCTACGGCCCCAGTGGCGATGTCCACACGCGTCTCCCCCACCCAGCACACAATTCGTGGTTTCGTAGGGAGGTCCACCTAAGGCCCCAGTGGCAGTGTCCACATGCGTTTCCCCCACCCAGCACAGCGCTTCGTGGCCACATAGGGAGCTCCACCTCAGGTCCCACGGGCGGTGTCCACATGGGCTCCCCCCCCCCACCATTACAGCGCTTCGTGGCCCCAAAGGGAGCTTCCCACCTAAGGCCCCCATGGCGGTGTCCACATGCGTCTCCCCCACCCAGCACAGCGTTTCGTGGCCACATAGGGAACTCCACCTAAGGCTCCAGTGGCGGTGTCCGCATGCGTCTCCCCCACCCAGCGCAGCGTTTCGTGGCCCCATAGGGAGCTCCACCTACGGCCCCAGTGGCGGTGTCCACATCCGCTTCCCCCACCCAGCACAGCGTTTCGTGGCCACATAGTGAGCTCCACCTAAGGCCCCAGTGGCGCTGTCCACATGCGCTTCCCCCATCCAGCACAGCGTGTCGTGGTTCCATGTGGAGCTCCACCTAAGGTCGCAGTGGTTGTGTCCACACGGGTGTCCCCCACCCAGTACAGCGCTTCGTGGCCCATAGGGGAGCTCCACCGAACGTGATACCCACAACTGCTGTATTCACAACTGCATATGGTTGGTTCCTTCGCCAGGCTAATTTTGGATGTTTTCGTTGCACTCGATCTTGAAATCTCTGCGAAGCCTGCGTTTCTTCATGCAAAAAGTATTTCGGCATGCGCGCGCGACGACGAGCGCGTGTGCACTTCGCCCCATGTTTTGCCAAATGATTATCCAACAGTGATGAGGCTTGATAAGCGAGTGCAAGCGCAAAGCATTTTTTGACAGGGAACCGAGGGGGCGGGGGCGATACCCGCCGGCCTGGGATGGCACGGGCTCGTATTCAGGGTTCACGATGGGTCTGACTCATATGTAAATTGCATTACGAAAGGCCGTACCGATAAGACTAGGGCCGAGCGTCTATTCTTTTGTAGAAGAATACATGTGGTTCAATTCAAAGCCATGTAGAGCAACGCGAAGGACGGCGGCGACGGCGACACCACAGCCGCCAGACCGACCCGCAGGCCCAGACGACGGACTGTGACTAGGCGGAGCGGGAGCGGCGACGACGACATGGCGCCTTTTACATATATGATCCACGGTCGAGGGCCCACGGGCCCCCCCCCCCCAGATGGTATGGTCCCAGGATTCCTCGGGCCCCCCCCCCCCAGATGGTATGGTCCCAGAGACGACGACGACGACGACGACGACGACGACGACGACGACGACGACGACGACGACGACGGCTGCGACGACGGCGACGACGACGGCGACGACGGCGACGACGACGACGACGACGACGACCACGACGACGACGACAACGACGGCTGCGGCGGCGACGACGCCGGCGGCGGCGACGACGACGATGACGACGATGACGACGGCGACGACGACGATGACGACGACGATGACGACGACGACGATGACGACGACGACGACGACGAGGACGACGAGGACGACGACGACGACGACGACGACGACGACGACGACCTCTGAACCACCACAGCACCACACCACATCCACAGGGGGGGGGAGGGGGGCACCGCAGTGCAACACCACGCCACGCCTACCTCTGAACCACCACAGCACCACACCACATCCACAGGGGGGGGGGGGGGAACCGCAGCGCAGCACCACCACCACGCCACGCCCACAGGGGGGGCGGGGGGGACCATCGCGCGGGGGGGAGGGCCCAATGGCATCAGCATTGGGGGGGGGGACCCAAACCCTGGACCATATATCTTCCGCATTCCCGGGGCAAGGGCCGTTGCATCTTGGAGCCATATTGCGGGGGCGCACTCGTGCCATCTCCGACATCCTACCCCTCCCACGTGTCCCTTCCCATTGCGCTGATTTGTTTTCTGTCAGCCGACGAGTTTCATAGCGGACCTAGAACCCCCCAAAACCACCCCATCGTGTGGTGCTCAATCAGACAGTGGAGCTGTGCACCAGGAGGAGAAGGAGGAGCCTGTGGATGAGCAGGAGCGGATGGTTGAGGGTGGGGAGGAGGGAGAGGAGGAGAAGAGGGAGGGTGAGGAGGAAGACGAGGAGGAGGATGAGGAGGAGGAACGGCAGCAGCAGCAGCAGCAGCAGCAGGAGCAGGAGCAGGATGAGCAGTAGGAACGGGAGGACCAGGGGCAGGCGGAGGAGGGGAAAGGAGGGGGGCAATAACGACGAAGAATGATTCGGATCCATATTTGTGGCCCACGCTGGGGCGAGAGCGTCATTCTGAACGGCGGAGGGGAAACGCCGATTCTGAAATGGGGCCAATTCTGCAGCGGGAGCATCTGGAGCATCACTGTGAAATGTCAAAGACGGTCCTATCGGACAAAAAGACATGGTTGAAATAATACGCGGGGACAGAGAAGAGAAGAATTCACATTGAGTATTTGCTTGTGGAGGGCGCGGACATCATGGTCGGGGAATGAGAATTCTCCCAGACCTCGTGACCCCCTCTCTTCTCTCAACACGCCCCTCCCCTGTCCCCCTCGTCCGCGCACATGCCTCGGGCCATGTATGCGCTAGACCCCCTCTTCCTGGCCCCCCTCTCTTCGGCGCTCCCCAGAAGAGTCCTGCGCCCTCTTCTTCTCGGCGGGGATTATTACAGAGCATCCTGGATCATCCGGCGAAAAAAACACGCACGAAACCGAACAAAGCACAGGGAATGGACGTCCGAGCGACGGGGAGGAGGAGGAAGATGCACGGGTACCGCTACCCTTCACTTGGTTTCGCCACTTTGGGCCTCCAACGAGGCCCTCGTCGCCACGGCCAGATTCGCCGCGAAATCCTGACCAGAACGCACATCGGGAGAGGTCTGTGGAGCAGAGGTATCGGTATTGTGAAGGCCTTACGGCTGGTACCGCCGACCCAGAAGGACGAAGACGACGCCGACGCCGACGACGACGACGACGACGACGACGGCGATGACGACAACGACGAGCTCAGAACGCACCTCGGGAGATGTCTGTGGAGCAGCGGCATCGGCATTCTTGTGGCCTCCCCACTGCAGGAGTCTGCCCCCGCCCGTGCGGAGCGCGGGCGCTCCCCCGGCACCGCTGGAGCCCGCGGCGGGCGCGGCCTGACCGGCGGGGGCGCGCCGCCGCCGGGAGCTGCCGCCAGGGCCCGCGGCAGAGGCAGCAGGGCCCGCGGCAGGGTGGCCAAGGAGCTCCTCCGCCCGCCTCGCGCCTTGTCCAAGGGCTCCCACGAGGGCGCGAAGTTATTCGCGCTTCGCGCTTTGCGGTCCTCGTTCCTTCTCCCCCTCCTCGTCCTCCTTTCCTCCCTTTGGGGGGGCTGCGCGAGAGCGCGAAGTTATTCGCGCTTCGCGCTTCGCGGAGCGCGAAGCGCGAAGTTGGGAGCCCTAGCTTGTCTCAGGGTGGGTGCCTCCCCCTCGCTCCCTTCCTCCCCCTCGGCGTTCATGCCTCACCATATACACCATAGCATTTAGAGTCCACGGCCTCACTCACCTGGTCTCGAGCAGGCTCGGGCTGCCGTCCGCACTGATGGTCGTTCGTTCGTTCGTTCGTCCGTTACTCCTCCGCCTCGTGCTGCTGCGCTCGGTCTGGAGGCGGAAGCTCCGCAGCGTCCACCGACGCCGCGCGCCTGCGGCCCACCGAGGGGGTTGAGTCCGCTGCCTCCTCCTCCTCCTCCTCCTTCCTCGTTCCTCTTCCCGGTCTTCCCACTCCTCCTCCTCTTTCCTCTTTCCTCTTACTATTCCCACTCCTCCTCCTCCTCCTCCTCCTCCTCTTTCTTCGTTCCTTTTCCTTATAGATACCTCCTCCCTGTCGCGCCCCGAGGCCAGTTTTTAGGGCGGGCCGGGCGTTTCGCCTGAGACCTCCTCACCATTTATGATTATGCAACTTACAAAGTGACAACAGTTTCACAGATGGAGGGCGGGTCGTTTTCAAAATGTGGCTCTCGCCTTAGCGCCGCGCGCATTCTTATTTAACATTTGCAAGAGTTTCACGGATTGAGGGCGGGTGATTTTCAAAATGTGGCTCTCGCCTTAGCGCCGCGCATACTCGTTCTTAGAATTTGCAAGAGTTTCACGAATTGAAGGCGGGTGGTTTTCAAAATGTGGCTCTCGCCTTAGCGCCGCGCACATTTGTTTTTTATTGCAAGAGTTTCACAGATTGAGGGCGGTCGGTTTTCAAAATGTGGCTCTCGCTTTAGCGCCGCGCACATTCGTTTTTTTATTGCAAGAGTTTCACGGTTTGAGGGCGGGTGGTTTTCAACATGTGTTTCTCGCCTTAGCGCCGCGCACATTCGTTTTGAACTTGCAAGAGTTTCACGGATTGAGGGCGGTTCCTTTTCAAAATGTGGTTTTCGCTGTAGTGCCGCGCACATTCGTTTATGAATTGCAAGGGTTTTACGGATTCCCCTGAATAACGTACAAGGATTCGGGCTCATGCGGGCGCAACAATTATGCTGGTTCGCTGTGTTGAAGTCCCAAACATGTCATTTTGGCACGATTCTGGATCTTCAAGACGCAGCAGTAAGGTTGATACGTGGCGTTGAAATCCCGAGAACAATGTTTTGGCACGCTTCAGGATCTTCAAGCTGTTGTCTTCCAACGAGGCAGTTCCCTCAATGGAAATGAACCGTTGTAGGAGCCTGTGAAGAGGGAGCTTGGAGGGAGGGTTGATTCCAACATCGTTGATGACTCTTGGGTCTCCGGTGCTTCCCTGCCTCCCGCCAAGGTGGACGGTTCGGACCGTTGTGGTTGTTGGCCGCCGGGCAGGGCGGGATATGAACATTGCAGCAGTTGGCTTTGAGCATTGAGCTCCACACTTGTGGCCCCTCCGAGGGGGGGGCCAGACTGCGCTGCGTGGCATGGCTCTTCTCCTGCCGAGTCGATCCGATTCCTGCCTCCCTTCCTCCGCCTCCTCCCCCACCTGTTCCATTCTCCGCCGTCCTCCCTCCATGCCTCTCTTCCTCCGCCCTCCCTGCCTCCCTGCCTCCCTCCCTCCGCCCTCTCCTCCTGCTCCTTTCTCCGCCTCCTTCCGCACCTCCTGCATGATGCAGGCCTTGTCGCCCTCCAGGACCGTCTTCCACAATTCCTCTGCGGCTGGGCAAGTCCTTGCTCGAGGGCCCACAGAGATCGGTCTAGAAGTTCTGAGCCCGGTGCCCCTCTTGAGCTGCACCCGCGGAGGACGGAGCGCGCGGCTCCGCCTCGGAGCCGCCCTACAAGCGCGAGGCCCCAGGCGCGTGGCAGGAGGGCCAGGGCGGCCAGCCGCGGCCGCGGACGTACACGGAGGGGACGGACACGGACGCAGTTTGGGAGGCCACCGTCACGAACACTTTCGTGAAGATGGTCCAGGTTCGGCCGCCATCCTTCGCATAAGAAAACGCGCCATAAACATTAAGGCTTTTGGCGCTCCGCGCGGACTTCTTGGATCCGCGCTGGGGCCCCCCGGCGGCGCCTCCGGCGCCGCCCCTGCTCCCTTCGCCAGGGAGGGGGCCCAGCGCAGATCCAAGAAATCCGCGCGGAGCGCCAAAAGTTTATGTTGATGTCGTTTTATCTTCTTCTAATCCTGGCCTTCGCACTGGCCATCCCTCCTGATCCCTGTTCTGCTGGTATAGGCCCCCAGAACGATGGGCGGGCGTGCTGAGAACACCGGGTCCGCCGACCCCATGGAAGCAAGGGGGTGCTTTTCGGAGGAGGTATCCTTGAGTGGCAGCACTGCATGTGTAGGGGGAGCCCGGCCCACACACTGTGGAGTTGTTCTCTGTGAAGTTCCAGAGGTTTTGCAGTATTTGCAGTGCTGCGCTCTCTGCAATACTGGGAGCATAAGCTTCGTTGGAACATCTACGAGCCGCTTGGGGGGTATCTTTCAGGAGGGAAAAAAACACACAGACACAATTAATCGTCGATTCCCCGGAAAATATGGGAGAATATGGGAAGTGACAAAAACCCAGAAAACATATGAAAATATGGGGAATATTGTTATTTGTGTATTTTTTTTTTTGTGTGTGTGTGTGTGTGTGTGTGTGTGTGTGTCCCAGGGCCCCTTCAATTTTGTGGGCTGCCGTGGACCACCTGCGGTGCAATCTTCGGCAATGCTGGGATCAGATCGTTGGGAAATCTGGCTGGGGACCGTCACTCGGGCCGGACGAAGGGGAGAGATAGGGAAAGGGGGGGTTCCGAAATCTGCTGCGTGCAGCTGGTTTCGGCCCCACCGAGGGGCCCATTCCTCGATACATAGCCGCCTCTGGCGCCGGGAGGCGCCAGGAAAATCAGCTACGCGAGCTGATTCTCAAACCCCCCCTTTGCAACCCCCCCTTTCGCCCGGCCCGAATCACGGGCGGGCTTTGTGGCGTCGGTTTGATTTCTTGCGAGAAAAGCCAGAGCGCGAATCAGGTCGGCTCGATAAGATGGGACGTGAATCATATTTGGCAAGGGCGAGACCACATCCACGCGGATGAGAATCATATCTAAGTGCCCCATCCAATCAGAAGCGGAATTGGATCCGCACGCCCTGAAATCATACCCGCTGCAGGTCCACTACCCATACACGTGGCTACGTCAGGTAGTTCGTTCTAGGGCCAAGAGGAACGCATTGTGAAGGTCTTTCGGCCAGTGCTGCCGACCCTGGAGGCGGAACCTCCAGGACCCCCGCTGGCGACACCCTCGGGGCCCGCAGGGACCCCAGGGGGAGCGGCGTTCTCCCCGCTGGCGACCCCCGCCGTGGGGGTGACCCCCAACAGGGACCCGCAAGGAATTCGGGGGGGAGGGGCGGCAATTACTCTGACCCGGGGGGCCCCCCTAAACCCCACAACCCATCGCTGTTCCTTGTTAATACACCCTCTACCCCAGGCGACCAGCAGCCAACCAGGACCAATGAGGCCCCCCCCCACCATCCCTGTCAGAAGCACATGTAAAGTCCACTTTGGGGCAAAATCTTGGGTCATGATCGAGGGGGCCTCGAGCACTTTTGATTGTCTTTTGACAGGGGCGGGGGGTTGCCCGCATATTACCTGCTGCGCGCAAGGCCAGCATCCCTGCCCCAAAACACTACAAAATGCACTTCGAGACGAAATCTTGATCATGCGCGGGCCCCCCGCGATCACTGCTCGTTGGTTTCTGACTGGGACGGCAGGGGTGCTGGCATATTGCCTGCAATGTGCAGGCCCACCAGACGCTATGGTGGCCACCCCGCCGCAATTGCGCACTGGTTTTCGACAAGGGTGGTGGGGGCCGACGCGTTTCCCGACGTGTATTGCCACGTGCGCAGGCGCACCTGGCACACTCTGCGCGTGCCCCGAACGTGTCGCACCTGGCGCGGCTGGAGCATGCGGCACACATGAAGCACGTGGATCACGTGGCGCATCTGGCGCACCAGGCGTGTCCTGCACGCTTTTGCCTGGCGCACCTGGCGCGCTTGGCACGCCTGGCGCACCTCGCCCCAGCGTTGCGCACATGGGGTCTGGTTGGATTAGCTGCCCATTCAAAGACTACCGCTGAACACGCTGCAGCTGGGGTGCTACTTCTGTGTTGGGAGGGCGGGTGGGAGTGAGCGAGACGGCTTGCGGGCGGGGAATGTGTCTTGACCCCCCCGTCCCCCCTTTCGACTTGACTACGACGTTTCTTTTCTCTGTTCGGGACTGGCGACGACGACGACGAAGACGACGACAGCGTCTCACACGCGCCCAAGGATCGGCGGAGTTCTGTCCTTGGCGTGTAGTGATATGTTGAAGCATTGATCGTCTGCTAGTTTGCGCTGTCGTCGCTTGAATGGGGCCAGTAACAGAACGGTTTGCCCCCGCGGGGTCCAGAACTGTTGGGGGATGGTCGAGGACAGCTCGGATTGGCATGCAGGGAGAGGGATTTGCTACGCATAGCTAGGCACAGCATAAGGTCCGCTGAGGATAGAGAATCACCTTCGCGTGCCACGCTATGTACGCGAACACCACGTGAGTGCGACCGCCAGACGGAGCAGGCCGGGTTGGAGAGACGAGGGGTAGGAGACAAGAGACAGGAGGAGAACAATACAGACAGCACGAAACACAAGCAAGGCATTAGTCCAGCAGGGAATACCACAGCTTGGCGTCCCAAGGGGGCCGACGAATTCAGTTTTGTGTGTTTGTTTGTTCGAGCGTGTTGTTGGCTTTCTCCCCCAACGCGCCCACTTCGCCCCTCCTGGTTACCGTGTGCAATGGCCAACTCGCATGCCAAACTAAGGTGGAGCATGGGGATCGTCAGTCAAGCACGCATATACGCTCGTCGGAAGTCCTAATTGACAAATTGGCGGGTCTTGCGGGCGCTGTCTAGGCAACATTCTGGCGGCCAACACAATGTGCTAACAGTTCGCGTATGCCCACCAGGCCATTTAGGAACGATGCTCAAACGAGTTGCTTTGACCAGGGAATTGTATGAACAACCATTGGATCAAAGAGTGGGAAAACCGTCGAACCGAAGCGTGGGATCATTTTGAGCAGATCCAGAGTCACCCAGAAATGGCAGATCTTTCGACATGAGAACGTCTTGTAAGCTTACTTGGTCCATCTTGGAGGCCCCTCGGGGCTATTTTGGATGCCTTTTGGGCTCTCTTGGAGCTCTCGTGGGAACCATCTAGGAGGACATCGAGCAAAATAATGCGATCTCAATGACGGCCTCCCCGTCGGAACCTTACAAAAGGCCTTCTTGAGTCGCTCTTGGAGCGCTCTTAGGGGTCTTCATGTCTTGAAGTCTTTTATGGACCCCTCTTGGGACTCCCTTGGGTGATCTTGGAGCCATTGTGAGGCCTCGAAGTCCATCGGAATCGAAAAGACGAGAAGGCAACAGTCATTGACAAAGCATCTCGGGTCTTTTGATCTGTCAGGGGCGATCTCGAGAGGCTCCTAGGCTACTTTGAGTTTCCTTGTGGCAGTATGTTAGCTTCGTGGAGGCATGTTGGAGGAAATGTTGGGCCATCTTGAATTCGATTGTGCCATTCTGAGGCATCTTGGGCCATGGGCAATAGTAGCCGGAAAGCCGTCAAAAGATGCCCCTGAGAAGCCGAATTCTTTCAGACGCCTTGGATGTTTTAATAAGCTTGCTTCTAAATGAGGGGACGGTTTAAATTTGCCGACCCCCGTCACAACCCGAATTATCGCCTATTCGGGTCCTCTTGGGTGCTCTTGGGGCGGTCTTGGTGCCCTTACGGCCCCCTCTGGGGGCTCTCTTGCGAAAGCTTGAAGCCACCTGGATGCAGCAGCAGCCCATTGAGAGCGACAAGACGTGAAGACACAAACCACTGAACAACCTTTGGATTCTTGTGATTTGGGCCTCTTGGGGCTCTCTTGGGCGATCTTGAAAGCATCTGGATGCAGGAGAGCGAACAGACGGGAAGGCATGACTCACCGAACAACCTTAGGCTTTTCGTGATTCGGCCCTCCTGGGGCTCTCTTGGGCGACTCCTCGACCATTGGGAATGCTTTACGGCCGGTGCCGCCGACCCTGAAGGGGGACGACGAAGACGACGACGACGACGACGACGACGACGACGACGACGACGACGACGACGACGACGACGACGACAACGGCGGCGGCGAAGGCGAAGGCGGCGGCGAAGGCGGCGGCGGCGGCGCTGACGTGGGGCAGAGTGGGCAAGGATGCTTCGTGGGGCCTCTTCGGAGCACGCTCGTAGGCCTCTGGGGGGCAGTTTGGCGGCCTCTTCGGAGCATCTGGGGGGCCTCTTCGGAGCCTCTTGGGGGCGGGCTTCCTGGTGCCTCTTGGAACCTCGGGGGGGCCTCTTGGGGGCCTCTTGGGGCCTCCTGGGAGTTTCTCGGAGCTGAGGGCTCCAAATGTTCGTTTTGGCTCCCGCTTGGGCACCCTCTCGGAGCTGTCTTGGGGGCCTTCTGGGCTATCTGGGAGGCCTCTAGAGCCGTCTTGGGGCCCTCTTGGGCCGTTTTGAGGCCGTCTTGGAAACCTCTGGGTTGGCCTCTTGTGCCCGTATTGGCGGCATTTTGGGCCGTTTTGGGGCGTCGGGAAGCCGAAAAGGCGAGAACGCCAGAATTTCTCAAACACCTAAAGAACATAATTGAGCTTCGCCTTTTAAGGCCCTCCTGGTCTGCTCTTGGGGGCCTCTTCGAGCGTCTTGGCAGCCGCTTGGGCTGTCAGGAGGCCCTCTATGGCGTCTCGGATTGATCGTTTGGCGATTCGGAGCCTTCCTGGAATCTCTTGGTCCTCTTGGCACTCTGTGGCCGTCTTGGCGCTTTTTTGGGCTCCAGGACCCCCCGTGACCCCTGGGGGAGGATGGTATTCTGACCCAGGACCCCCCCATTCCTTCCGGGACCACCCCCTCGCCGGGAAGGGACGAAGGGAAGGGTTTCCTTTCGACTCAATAACGACATTGTTTCGTTTTGTTGTGGCAAGCGAGCTCGAGGAGGAGTGCTCAGGGAAAGCAGGGGAAAGCTGCGACGGGCGCAGGAGAATTCTGCGACGGGCTTAAGGAAAGTGGAGGACAGCGGCGACAGCGACTGCGACGACGACGAGAACGGAGCAAACAGAACAGCGTCTCACAACATGTCGACAGGGTCGGCGGATTTGGAGCCGTCTGGAGGCGGTCTTGAGGCCTTTTAGAGTCACGTTGGAAGCTATCTTCGAACATCTTGGGCTGTCGAGTGCCATTCTGAAGGCCATCTCAGGCAATCTGGGGCCCTGCTGGGGCCATCTTGAGCCCAGAAGGGGCCCTCTGACACGTCGCGCCCCATCCCCGCTTCAGTTCCAGGGGAGGGGGGAGGGAGAGGGGCAAACCCCTCCCCGAAGGGGGAAAAAAGGGGAGGCTGGGACAATGATAACACATAAAACGACAACGATCAAAACGACAACGATTCAGGGGTGGACAGACCTCCTAACAGTGACACGTCGATTAGTGAATTGTCCGTTTTCGGTTCTCGAGAGGGCGCCGCGGCCGTTATTTTCCAGGCTTGCGCCCGCCAGGTTTGGGCCCGAGGTCGTTTTCACTAAACCACGTTTTACTAAAGGGATGTCTGTCCATCCCCGAACGATGATGATCAACGACGATGACAACAACGACAACGATCTGACCCACCTGGCGCCCGAGAGGGCCGCTGGGGGGCCCGCAGGTGGCCCCGCCGCAGCGCGGCCGCAGCCGCAGCTGCCCTGCGAGCTGGGCGCCCGCCGAGGCCAGCGGCAGGGCGGGCACGCCCCCCCCCCGATCGAAAGGGGGCGGGCGCGGAGGCCATGGCCACACGAGGGCCGAACGCTGGCAAGACATGCGGCCACGCCGACGTGCAAAATGATTCAGCCTTCGCCGAAGCCGACCGCGCCATGTGTCATGCGTACCCAACTTTCCTGTAGGACCCAGACAAAAGAGGACATGTTCTCGTTGCACAACGTGCCCCCCACAAACTTCTCCTCCTTTACATAAGAAAAACATCTCGAAGGCTCTGGCGCACCTGAGGTGCCCAGATTCACCCCAGGGGCGCCCATCCTGTGAGCGAGTGGCCAAGGGATTTCTGACCTGGGCGCTTCAGTTTCGTATTGCGATGCAGGATCAAGCAATACGGATATTACAATCCACTGGCAGTGCTCGAGTGGGCCAGAGGCCGTCTTGGTTTCTGGGAATCACGGGCTCAAGTCCGAAGGTGACGTTTGCAGATAGGGCTGCTCACGAACAATTCACAACTGCATTGGTTTACTGGATTTGGGTCGCGATAGTTGGGGCCGCGGGAGCCAACTCAGCGAAGGCGGCCCGCAGCGCGCCTCAATCCATGTGGAGCTTACCATGCGAACCCTTTCCGATTGAATCCCCAGCGCTCCTCAACGACACCGCACATCCCGACAGCGACGCGAACATAAAACAACAATCACCAAGGGCTCCCTCGAGGGCGCGAAGTTATTCGCGCTTCGCGCTTCGCGGTCCTCGTTCCTCCTCCCCCTCCTCCTCGTCTTCCTCTTCTCCCCCTTGGGAGGGCGGCGCGAGAGCGCGAAGTTATTCGCGCTTCGCGCAGCGCGAAGCGCGAAGCTGGGAGCCCTTGATCACACAAGGCCCCCCCCCCCCAGAATCATGATCGCATGGCCCGCCTGCCGGCCGAAAGGGCCCACAAGAACCTCCACGTTGCAGCCGGCCGGGGGGCCCGAGGTGGCCCACGCCCCTCCGATCGACAGGGCCATCAAAGGCCTACACGTTGGAGCCGGCTGGGGGTCTGAGGTGGCCCAGCATTGGTTCCAGCGAGCAGCAAGGGGGGGGGAGGTTCGAGGTTCTGGGTTCGGGACGGTTTTTGCCTTTTTCAAGCTCTAGGGGCCGTTTTCGGGCCCCCGGACCGCCAAAAACGGATCTGGAGTGAAAAACTCCACCAGATGGACCCCGGGAGGGGTCCAGGGATCGATTTTGAGCGAATTTGCATTCATCTCCTCTCCTGACTGATTTTCTCAGGGCCCAACCTACGCAGACCCCACGGCCGCCTCCAACCTACTCGGCAGCATTTTCCGTCAAGACATTGCCGTGAAGCGTTGATTCAGTAAAACGCTGCAAAGCGCACTCGGAATGATGACGCAGCCGCATCGTGCGAACTGTGCGAATCCGCCCAAGGGGCGTGGACAAAATGCGACCGCATCGTGCGACCGAGTGCAAACCGCGCTTCACGACAGCACGCGGTCAAGACGCTGAACTCAAGGACCGCTGCGGGCTCAGGAGGCGCTCGGCTTGTCTGGCCGCTCCTCAGACTTGGGTCTGGGGTCTTGTTCGTGGCTGGCACGATGGCTGTACGACCGCATACGGTAGGTTCGCGTCGCGTCGCCTCGCCGTGACCCCGCCGGGAGCGTTCAACGTTGAGCGCCGCCAGTGGCCCTGAATTGACCAATATGGAGCGATCTGGCGATCGGAGGGCCGCCGATCGTTCAAGGTTAAACGATCCACGTGGTGTCAGAAACCAGCGCGCAGGTTGTCACGACACGAACCCGCCGTACGGCCGTGAAGCGCACCCTTCGGCACCGCCCCCGGAAAGGTGGCGGAAGCCGGCGGCAGGGCGGGCACGCCCCCGCCGCCCCCCGCCGGTGCGGCGGGCCCGCCGCCCCAGGCGGGCGCCGCCCGCACGGGGCGGAGCGCTTGCGGCAGGGCCAGCACGCCACCTAGGCGCCGCCAGCGGCGCGCCGCTGGCGACGGGCGCCCGCCGCTGTGCCGCTACTTCGTGAACGGGAGCTGCAGGTGCAGGGGGGAACATCACCACCACCACCACCACCACCACCACCACCACCATCATCATCATCATCATCATCATCATCATCATCATCATCATCATCATCATCATCATCATCAGCATCATCATCATCATCATCATCATCATCAGTAGCATCATCATCATCCTATTCATTACCATCGTCATCATTTTCATCATCATCCTCCTCATCATCATCATAACCATGTTCAGCATCAGCACCATCACCCTCAACATCATCATCATCATCAGCATCAGCATCATCATCATAACCATCCTCCTCATCATCACCATCAGCATCATCACCATTTTCATCACCATCATCACCATTTTCATATGTACCATCATCATGACCATCATCACCATCACCACCATCATCACCACCATCATCATCACCATCATCATCGTCATAACCATCATCATCATCATCATCATAATCCTCGTCATCATCACCATCATCATCAGCATCATCATCACCATCATAACCATCCCCATCATCATCACTATCAACATCATCAACATCTTCATCACCATCACCATCTTCATATTTATCATCATCACCATCACCATCATCATCACTACTATCCGCATCACCTTCATTACCTTCATCACCATCATCACCATCATCACCATCACCATCATCATCATCATCATCATCATCATCATCGTCATCGTCAGCATCATCATCAGCAACATTAGCATTATCATTCGCATTCGATTTAGCAACCGCATTACCAGTAACTTTACGATTAACCTGATCATTCATATTAGCAGCATCACCAGCAACATCATCGTTGTTTGCTGAATATCTTGCTCGTTGTAATGGTGTGTGTGTGCCACAACACTGCGGCTGAAGTCTTAGTTGGCGCAGCCTCCCACCCGCGGAGATGCACAGGAGCTCGAAGAGAGGCCCGCGGAGAAGCGCAAGAAGTCCAGAATCTTCATCATTTTCTGCTGCTTACTATGTTTTTTGCTAGTTCGGGTATTCTGGAGTATGTGATTCGAGCAGAGGTGGATAGGCATCCGGGACAGCCCGAGGTGGCCCGAAGGACGGTCATGTCCAACCCAGCCCAGTAGGCTTTCGGAAAGATCTCTGAAAAGGGCTTGGTGGCGCCCGGAAGCCCAGCACGTGGAGGGAAGGACCCTTTTGGACGGAAGTGGTGGCCAGAGGGCGCCCCAGCCGAAGCCCGGGCCCTCGGGCCGGCGGAGTGAGCGAGCCGCGGGAAGGACCCTAGGAGGGGTTGTGAGGGCTCAGAGGCCAAGGTAGGTATGAAAAGCGCGCTGGTGAGAGGAGTTGCAGAAAGCATTCCTTGCAGACCATGCGGCGGATCTCACACGCCGTACCGGGTCTTCGCTCATTCTGCCAGCCCAGATTGTCCGATCGCGCGCGTTTGCTCGCGTGTTCGTTGCCACTGCGCATCTTGCTTGTGTGCACCTCCTCCAGCGGGCCCCGAGAAGCCCGAAAAAGCATGCGAGAACACGCGAGAATCCTTTGGAAGGCAAGTTTGGCTCTCCCAGCGCCCTCTCGGAGGTCTCTCGGGTGCGCATCTGGAAGCTGGAGCGGGTGAACTTCTGACGAGGAGCGTCGGGTGTTTAATGCCCAATACGATTAAGCAACATGAGACCTACAGCAAGCGCATATGTCGAACAATCAATTGAACAGTATTTTGTAGGGAACGCTGGCAGAGATGCGAATGTTGCTATCTTGCCACTTGCGCTGGTGTCGAAGGTCCTGCGCCCGCGCCTCTTTGCATGCCTGTCCCGCCCGGGGGCAGGTTTGGTGACGGCTGCAAGAACCGGGCTGGCCACTTGATGCCGGATTTGGCCACTCCCAAACGACAGGCGGGTGGTAATGAGGGATGACCTGATCGGGGGGTGAAGAAAAGATCCCCTTCAGGATCACTGTTTGGGCGCCAGCTGGCACAACAAAGGGCCTCAGAGGGCCTTTTTAGGGCCCTTCTCTCCACCCCCAACGTCGGTCCCGGCCACCTCATACCACCCACCCGAAAAGACTTCAGGAGGAGGAGGAGGAGAAAGATGAGGAAGAGGAGAAAGAGGAGGAGGAGGAAGAGGAGGAGGAGGAGGAGGAGGAGGAGCAAGGGGAGGAGGAGCAGCAGGAGAGGGGAAGGAGGAGGAGGAGGAGGAGGAGGACGGGAAGTCCCAGCGTCGCCCTGCGGGGTCGGGCTGACGAAGGGGAAAGCGAAAGAGGTGAGGGAAGGTTTGTATTCACTCTTGTGAGAGGGGCGGGCGGGGGCTATTCCTCCCCCTGGAGGACATGACCTTCGAGATCGACCTTACCAAGGTCCTCCATAGAAGAGGGAGGAGGAGGAGCAGGAGCAGGAGCAGGAGCGGAGAAGGAGCAGGAGCAGGAGGAAGTAGAAGGAGAAGCGAGTGATGAGCGTGGGAGGAGTAGTAAGATGCGGAGCAGGAGGTGCGAGAGTAGGAGGAGGAGGAGGAGGAGGAGGAGGAGGAGGGATAATAATAATAGTAGTACTAATACTACTACTACTAATAATAATAATTCTATTAATAATAATAGTAGTAATAATAATAACAATAATAATAATGATGATGATACTAATAGTATTACTAATACTAATAATAATAATAATAATACTAATAATTTTACTAATGATAATGATAATAATAGTAATAGTAATACTTATACTAATAATATTACTACTACTACTACTACTACTACTACTACTAATAATAATAATAATAATAATATTATTAATAATAGTAACAATAACATGATGTTGCGGAGGAGGAGCAGGAACAGCAGCAGGAGGAGGAGGAGAAGAAGGAGGTGGAGGAGGAGGAGTTCCAGCCCCCCAAGGAGCACAATATGGAGCTTGGTCTCGAGGCTGACGATCTTGACACTGTACTTCGCATCACTGCCGTGATGGAGGAGGGACTGGTGAGTGATTGGAACGCTAAGCGGCCAAGCATGTCTGTCAAGGTTGGCGACTACATTACGAAGTGCAATGGCAAGGTATGCTCCCCGATAGCCATCTTGAAGAAAACTCAGAGGAATGAATATAGTGCGCATGAGCTTCGCTTGACGATCATGCGGATGACAGCGCAGGACCGTCAGGGGAGTTGCCATTCAGGGCCAATGAGCTGGTCGTCCTCGTCTTTTTCTGATTCCCCTTTCACTCCTCCTCCGCCTTCTGTCATTCCCTCTTTGTCCTGCTTCCTGCCTCCGTTCTCGTCTCCTGATCCGTTCCTTCGCTGCGCAGGCTGAACGTGATCGACTCGGTCGCCGGGTCGTTCAGAGCTCAGATGTTCGTGAAGGTTTTTTCCCAACCATCCTGTGGTGTTGGGTCCTCGTTTTGAACAGACAGCGCCCGCGTCCTTCCTCCCGCTGCCCCCCCTCCTCCCTCCTCCAAGAGGAGCGCCGCCCTCTCTCCTCTCCTCTCCTCTCCTCTCCTCTCCTCTCCTCTCCTCTCCTCTCCTCTCCATTTCGGCACACCCCTCACACGTCTCGTGGCCCCACAGGGAGCCCCACGGAAGGCCCCAATGGCTGCGTTCGCATGCGCCCACCGCACCCATTTCGGTACACACCTCACAGGTTCGTGGCCCCACAGGGAGCCCCACCCAAGGCCCCAGTGGCTGCGTTCGCATGCGCTCACCGCACCCATTTCGGCACACTCCTCACACGTTTCGTGGTCCTACAGGGAGTTCTGCCGAAGGCCCTAGTGGCTGCGTTCGCATGCGCCCACCGCACCCATTTCGGCACACCCTTCACACATTTCGTGGCCCCACAGGGAGTTCCACCGAAAACCCCAATGGCTACGTTCGCATGCTTCCACCACACCCATTTCGGCACACCTCTCACACGTTTCGTGGCCCCACAGGGAGCTCCACCGAAGGCCCCAGTGGCTGCGTTCGCATGCGCCCGCCGCGCTCATTTCGGTACACTCCTCACACGTTTCGTGGCCCCATAGGGGGCTCCACCGAAGGCCCCAGTGTCTGCGTTCGCATGCGCCCGCCGCACCCATTTCGGCACACCCCTCACACGTTTCGTGGCCCCACAGGGAGCTCCACCGAAAGCCCCAATGGCTACGTTCGCATGCTTCCACCGCACCCATTTCGGCACACCCCTCACACGTTTCGTAGCCCCACAGGGAGCCCCACCGACGGCCCCAGTGGCTGCGTTCGCATGCGCTCACCGCACCCATTTCGGCACACTCCTCAAACGTTTCGTGACACGTTTCGTGGCCCCACAGGGAGCTCTGCCGAAGGCCCCGGTGGCTGCGTTCAAATGCGCCCAGAGCACCAATGTCGGCACACCCATTGCACGTTTCGTGGCCCCACAGGGAGTTCCACCGAAGGCCCCGGCACAGCCTTCATGCGTTTCGTGGCCCCTGAGGGATCGCTACCGAAGAAGATATTCACATTTGCGGTACGCACAGCTGCATATGGTTGGGTCTTTCGCCAAGGTAATGTTTGAAAGTCTTTTCCCCATTGGAAGCCTAAGGACCCTGCGCGGAGGGGGAGGACGGGAAGAGTTGGGAGGTAGCGAGGGACGGTTGAGGAAGGCGGGGGGCGGTGGTGGGGTGGTGATAACCAGGAGGACCGAGATGGGGACGAGAACAGTGGGGACGAGCTGTCCATGTTCGTACGGAGGCGGCCAGTCTGTCGGTGTCGCCGCGGGCTTTGCCCATGTGGGGCAGACTTCGCAAGCCCGACAGCGGCCGCTGCCGGTCTAAACATAGCTATAGCTATTGTGATTATTTCTCCTTATCGGGGCGGGCGCGGGCCTTCCTGCGCTGCCCCCATGAGGCATGGCCTCCTCGGTCCTGGCGGCTAGCGTCAGTCCCGTCGGTTGCTAGACCTTGATTGTCCTTTGTCCCTCGTCCTGCTCATCCTCATTGTTTCCCTCCTCGTCCTCCCCATCCTTCCTCCCCCGCCCTATCCCTCTCCTCCTCCTCCTCCTCCTCCTCCTCCTCCTCCTCCTCCTCCTCCTCCTCCTCCTCCTCCTCCCCCGCCCCATCCCTCTCCTCCTCCCTGTCCTGTCTCCTCCCCCCGCCGGCGGAGGACCACGAGGAGGAGGGCAAGGAGCCGGCGGGCGCGCGGCGGCCGCCCGGGCCTGAGCTGCCTCCAGTGGAGGAGCCCGCGGACACCGCCCCGCACCCCCCACCCTCGTCCCCGCCCTCCCCCCCCCCAGAAAGAAGAGAAGGAGGGGGGGTGGTCCCCCCCAGAAAGAAGAGAAGGGGGTGGGGCAGGAGGAGGAGGAGGAGGAGGAGGAGGAGGAGGAGGAGGAGGAGGAAGAGGGGAGAGGGAGAGAGTGATGCGATGTCGCCGAGGGAGACTGGTTTTCATGAGAACGTCGTTGTGGTTTTACTCGGGGCTGGGTTTTCCGGGGCAGGCACCCTTGTCCCCCCCGCCTCCCCCAGCTCCCCAGCCATTCTTTCCCGCTCTCCTCCGCGTGTCCTCCCTCCGCGTCCTCGTCCTGCCCGACCTTTCCTTACCCCCTCGCCCCCCCCGCGCCCCCCCCCCGTCTCCTCCGCGTCCTCGGCCTCCCCTCCGCGTCCTCGTCCTCCCCGACCTTCCCCCCCGCTCTCCCCCCGCGGGCGGGGGATGGCGGGGAGGTGAAAGTGAAGAAGGAGGACGGATGGGGGTGGATGGGTGGAGAAGACGGGGGAAGGATCGAGGAGGCTCCCCGAGGGGAAGCGAGGAGGAGGATGGGAGGTGGAGGGCGGATGGAGCCCGTCCGTCGTCCCGCTCCGTCCCATCATTCCCCGCTATGTTTTCAATCGTCGTCCTTGTCCTCCCCCCTCCTTGTTTTCCTCGTCCCCTCCTCCTGGTCGCCCCCGTCCATCCATCCCCCCTCCTCGTCCCGCTCGCACTCCTCAGCCTTCCTCCTTTGCCTTCTACTCCTCCTTTATCCTTCTTTTCCCTACTTACCCTCGTCGATCGCTCGGTCACGGTCAATGAATCCTGAGATGTGACCTATCCCACACGTTGGTTCGGATGAGGAGGAGAAGAACGAAGAGGATGAGGAGGAGGAGGAGGAGGACCAGGGTAAACTCAAGACTCATCAACGATGTTGGAAGAAGCCCTCCCTCCAAGCTCCCTCTTCATAGGCTCCATACAGTGGTTCATTTCCACTGGTGGACCTGCCTCGTTGGGAGAGAGCCGTTTGAAGACTCTGAAGCATGCCAGAACACCAGTCTCGGGATTCCAACGCCACGGATCAACCTGACTTTTGCGATTTGACGATCCTGAATCGTGCCAGAACAGCATTATGGGGACTTCAACACCGCGAATCAACAAAACTGTTGCACCCTCAGAAACCTGAATCCTTCCAGAACGCAATTTCTGATACGTTGACAATGGGAATCCTTGCACTCGTGCAAGTTGTTGAAAGAAATGTGCGCGGCGCTAATGCGAGAGCCACATGTTGAAAACGAACTGCCCTCAATCCGTGACAGTCTTGCAAATGTTCAAAACGAATGTGCGCGGCGCTAAGGCTAGAGCCACAGTTTCAAAACCGCCCGCACGCAATCCATGAAGTTCTTGCATTTTTAAAGACGAATGTGCGCGGCGCTAAGGCTAGAGCCACAGTTTCAAAAACGCCCGCACTCGATTCATGAAGTTCTTGCATTTTTGAAGACGAATGTGCGCGGCGCTAAGGCGAGAACCACATGTTGAACACCACCGCCCTCAATGTGTGAAACTGTTGTAATGTGTTAAGCTTCGGGGTCATAATTGGTGAAGTCTCAGGCGAAAGGCCTGGACCGCCCTTTCGACCAGCCTCGGGGTGCGACAGGGAAGAGTTATTAATAAAGGAAAGGACCGGAGAAGGAGGAGGAGACGGGTGAGGGGGGAAGGGGAAAGGGAGGGGGAGGGGGAGGGGAGGGAGGACGAGCAGGAGCAGCAGCATGCAGAAGTAGAAGGGGCAACAATAGGAGGAGTCACACCGCATAGATATGGAACAGCCGCCACTCGTCCCCGAGCCATCCCGCGTCGACCACAACGTCATTGAAATGTGGATCACAAGGCACACACAAGGCCGTGACACGAGCAGTGAGCCAGTGGTCATTCCACCCACTCGGAGGGCAAGGAACGCGAGAGGGAACGAGGTGCGCGCGAGGCTGGCCAGGGGCCCCATCAATAGTTGGCTCGCTCAAGACCTCGCCTCCCCCACAGTTCAGGGCCAAACTCTTGCTCCTCAAACGTGTTCGTATGGCTCTTTTGATGGTTCCCAACCCTCCTCTGCTGGATTCTTGTTTTGAGTAGAGCCCCGTGGTCTCCACTCCTCCTCCTCCTCCTCCTCCTCCTCCTCCTCCTCCTCCTCCTACTCCTACTCCTACTCCTACTCCTACTCCTCCTACTCCTCCTCCTCCGCCTCCGCCTCAGCCTCATCCTCCTCCTCCTCCTCCTCCCCCTCCTCCTCCTCCTCCTCCTTCTCCTCTCTCTCCTCTCTCCCTCCTCCTCCTTCTCCTCTTCCTCCTCATCCTCCTCCTCCTCCTCCTCTCCTCTCCTCCCCCTCCACCTCTTCTTCCTCGTCCTCCTCCTCCTTTCCTCCTCCTCCTCCTCCTCCTCGTCCTCCTCCTCCTCCTTCTCCTCCTCCTCCTCCTCCTCCTCCTCCTCCTCCTCCTCCTCCTCCTCCTCCTCCTCCTCCTCCTCCTCCTCCTCCCCCTCTTCCTCCCTCCTCCGGCGCTGTTCCCTGAGAGGCTGCGAACTGTGCAACAGTCGCCAATTGTGTGGGCCCCCTGGAGGTCCAGCGGAGTGGAGGTGTACGCGCATCCAGACGAGATTTCGCGGCTCCATGGTTGCGAATTGCACAGTTGTCGCCGCGTTCGTGGGTTCTGGGGAGGTGGAGGTGCAAGCGCATCCAGACGAGATTTCGCGGCTCCCTGGGTGGCCGCGAACTGCGCATCGTCGCCGTGTTCGTAGGCTTCTTGGGAGGTCCAGTAGGGTGGAGGGGGAGGTGTACGCGCATGTAGACGAAACCTCGCGGCTCCCTGGGTGGCCGCGAATTGCGCAAGTGTCGCTATATTTGTGGGTTCTTGGCAGGTCCAGCGGAGTGGAGGTGCACGCGCATCCAGACGAGACTTCGCGGTTACCTGGATGGTTATGAATTGCGCAGTGTCGCCACTTTTGTGGGCTCTTGGGAGGTCCAGCGGAGTGGGTGTGTACGCGCATCCAGACGGGACCTCGCGGTTCCGTGGGTGGTTGCGAATTGCGCAATTGTCGCCATTTTCGTGGACTTTTGGGAGGTCCAGCGGATTGGAAGGCAGCGCAGATCATTTCGAGACTTCGCTGCCCCATGGGAGGATCTGCGAACAGCGCAAACGCCGCTACTTTCGTGGGCTCATGGGAGGCGCGGCGGAGATGAGGACAGCGCAGATCACTCTGAGACCTCGCGGCTCTTGGAGAAGTTGCGAACTACGCAATTGTCGCCAGTTTCGCAGTCTCCTGGAAGACACGGTGGAAGTGCGTGTAGCGCAGGTCAGTTGAGACTTCGCGGTTCCCGTGGGGGCTGCGAATTTTGCAGTTGCCGCCACGTTCGTGAGCTCTTGGGAGGTACGGCGGAGGTGAGGGCAGCGCAGATCATTTGAGACTTCGCGGCTCCCTTGGGGGCTGAGAATTGCGCAACCGTTGCCATTTGTGTGGCTTCCTAGAAGGTGCGGCGGAGCGCAGGACGCCCACATGGCGAGTGGCAACATCGCGACATTTAGCGTGCGACGCTGTTGCATCACGGAGCGCAAGGCGTCGGAACGTCACGTAGCGCACGGCGCTGTCCTCAGTGGAGTGGCCCACTCCTGCGCGGTGCGCGACTCGCGTGGCCCGGCAATGCTAGGCGAATACTTTGAGAGTGCCGCATATCTCTCAGCAGGTTGTTTTTTAGTGGTGCGTTCATGCAAATGGTCGCCTCGCGTGGAGAAAAGGTTAGGTACGTCTCGGGTAATTTTACAAACCGACTGTTTTCGGTGCTTCGAAATAGTGCTCCCGCTGCAGCGTGGGCCTCATTTTCGGATCGGTGCCGTTCACCCGTCGATCACAATGTCACTCTCGCCTCAGCGCGGGCCATTTGTCTGGATCCGAGTCCGTCCTCATCGTTGTCGCCCCCCCCTCCTTTCCTCTCTTCCATTTTCCTCTGGTCCTCCTGCTCCTCCCGCTCCTTCCACTCAAGCTCCCGCTGCTTATATTCGTCTTCGTCCTCTTCCTTCCTCCCTCCTCCTTGTCCTCCCTCTCAGCTCCCCCTTTCCGATTGCGCATGTCGCAATCGAGTCTTGTTGGGAGTTCGAGGTCCGCGATGACACGCGTCCGCGGGTAGGAAAAAATCAGCGCATTGGGAAGGGATGGGTGGGAGGGACAGGATGTCAGATATGACGCGAGCGCACTTAACTTAGTTCGTTCTAGTTGTTGACGCTTCGCGTATCCCCACCAGCCCGCACCAGTTCCGCGACAGCTGCTTGGCTTGCAGACGTTGTCGCGGGCGTTCGGAGTCTGGCGCCCCACAGGCGACTCACTCCACCGGCCTCTCACTTGCCTCCGCGGCAGCAGGACCCCCCCCCTGGCAGGCTGCGCAGGCGCTTCACCACTAGACGGCGGTGCCGCCCACGCTTGCGGATCTCTTCGCTCCAGGGATCGGCATCGCATTTGCGCCTTGGGCACAGCCGCATGGCTCCACCTGGCACTGGGAGGCGGATTACTGAGGTCTGGGCGCCGTGTGGTTCAGCCTGCTACGCCTGTACAGCCCTCGGTTCTCCTTCTGATTCTGAATGCAGAGCATTTTGTTCAGTGCATGTGCAGCCGCACGCTTGTTGTGCAATTCGCTTTGTGCCGCCTGCCCCGTACATTGCCTTTGCCGCCAGACCGTTGTCGAGCGGCCGCCGACCAAAAAAAGTATCCCCACCAGCTTGTTCAGAAATCCTGCCCATGAGATCTGACGGGAAAACGGACGAAGGGACACATACAGTGAAACAAAACGGTCGACATGAATGAACAGAGAGATCTCTGGGAGCAAGGGGGTGGCTTTGGAGGGTCTCTCAGGGCCCTTTTGGAGCTCTCTTGGGGCTCTTTCGGGTGGTTTTGGGGTTCTCTTGGGGCTCTTCTGGGGGCTTTAGGGGCCCTCCAGGGCTCTAGGGGCCGTCTTGGAACCTACTGGGGGACATCTTGGGAGCTCTGGGGGTCCTTTTGAAGGAGATCGATCGATGGAGGCGGGGGTCCGTAAGTAGCCCCCCCCCCAGGAGGCCCTTCTCGGCGAGGCCATATTGTACGCTCTAACCCCTCCGTCCCCCCTCCAAAATAACGTCAGGGAGGGGAGGGGGATGGTACCCTTCCCTGGAGGGACGAGGGCTCTGGAAGAGGAGAGAAAGAACCCGTGAGACCACCTACGCCCAGAGGGTTGGTGGGATTCCACTATTCTTCTTCTTCTTTTTTTTTCTTCTTCTTCGCCCTTCCCGAGGAGCTCCAGAACCGCGCCGAGAAGGAGGTGAGAGCGCGGTGGCCCGGGGTCCGACGGCTGCGTTGAAATTTCGGGGTGGCCCAGAGGACGAGAACGAGGCGGACGACGGTGGCAACGTCAAAGGATGGACACCGATGCCAACAGCGAGAGACAGGCGGACGAGGAGGAGACGGCCGAGGAGGAGGAGGAGGAGGAGGAGCAGGAGCAGGAGCAGGAGCAGGAGCAGGAGCAGGAGCAGGAGCAGGATGAGGATGAGGATGAGGATGAAGATGAGGATGAGGATGAGGATGAGGATGAGGATGAGGATGAGGATGAGGATGAGGATGAGGATGAGGATGAGGATGAGGATGAGGATGATGAGGATGATGGTGATGATGATGATGATGATGATGATGATGATGGTGGTGGTGGTGGTGATGATGATGATGATGATGAGGAGGAGGAGGAGGAGGAGGAGGAGGAGGAGGAGGAGGAGGGGGACCAGACATTTGACGCATCGCAGGGAAAATATTGCAAGCGAGTCGAACAGGGGCGGGACTGTTGGCCGAGGGAGGGTTGAACAGCCACGACACGTTATCCGCCTCGTCACGAGAATTCACAACAGTTGCAACAGCACAAAACCGGGACAACAGTTCTTCAATTTGCCATGATGTAGATACTTCCGATCCCTCTCAATATTCCTAACATGAATTGGTGACTGCGTCTTTCGGCGGAGTAGTTTCTGATTCGCTTAATGCTTGTAGTTCTGTGACCCCCAAACTGAATTGGAAACTACTCCGCTCCAAACCGTATAGTTATCGAGCATGATGCGCCCACGCGCGGAGTAGTTGGAGCATTTCTACTCCGAACTACTCCGCGTTGATGCGCTATTGGCGAAGGCACATTGGAATAAACTTTCGTCAGGGTGATGTATGCGTGAAAAGGTCATTCTGGGGGCCGCAATTCCAAACGGCAAGAAGACTTTTTGGCTACCTATGTCGGCGATATTGTAGTGGCCTCCGGCCAGTGCCGCCGATCTGGGGTGCTACCGATTCTGCTTGCAACGGAGGACCTTCTATGTTTAAAAGGCGAGCACTCGCTCGAGACCTCCTCATAAGATAGAGATGTTGAACTCGCTTGGGCAACCGTCGGATATTCGAAAGTGACGATCTCGCGTGAACAGCCAAACTCATGGATGTCCCCTCCCGCCTTCCGGGCCTGAATGGCGTCAGCCATGGCGTCAGCCCCCGCCCCCTCGGACTTCTCCTTCCCGGGCCTGAATGGCGCCAGCCATGGCGTCAGGGCTCCTTCCCTCCCCCCCTCCAGATCCCCCTCCCGGGTCTGAATGGCGTCAGCCATGACGTCAGCTCCTCCCCCCCCCTCGCCCCGACTTCCTCCTCCCGGGCCTGAATGGCGTCAGCCATGGCGTTCCCCCCCCCCCTTCTCCTGCCCATGGCGTTCCCCCCTTCCCCCCCCCCCTCCTTCCTCCTCCCGGGCCCGTCAGCCATGGCGGCCCATGGCGTCCCCCACACACAGCCCTCAGCCCCCCCCCCCTCCTTCGCCCGACAAAGCGAAGCCCCCCCCCTTGTCCCTCCCGGGCCTGAATGGCGTCAGCCCCCCCCCCCCCCCTCCTCCCTCCCGGGCCTGAATGGCGTCAGCCCCCCCCCCCCTCCTCCCTCCCGGGCCTGAATGGCGTCAGCCCCCCCCCCTCCCCCCCGACAGAGCGAAGCCCCCCCCCCCCCCCTCTTCCCTCTCGGGCCTGATGGCGTCGTGAGCCCCCCCCCCCCCCCCCCTCCTCCCTCCTCCCCATGGCGTTCCCCCCCTCCTCTTTCCCGGCCTGAATGGCGTCAGCCCCCCCCTCCTCCCTCCTGGGCCTCCTGAATGGCGTCAGCCCCCCCCCCCCCCCCTCTCCCAAGCGAAGCGAACCTGCCCCCCCCCCTCTCCAGAGCTCGTGCGTTCAGTGCATTCCGTTGGAATGTGTACCCCCCCCGGGCTTGTGCGTTCAGTGAATTCCGTTGGAATTCGTCCCCCCCCCTCCCCAGAGCTTGTGCGTTCACTGGATTCCGTTGGAATTCGTCCCCCCCCTTCTCCAGAGCGAAGCGTCCCCCCACCCCCCTCCTCTCCAGAGCTTGTGCGCTCACTGAATTCCGTCGGAATTCGTCCCCCCCTCCCCTCTCCAGAGCGAAGCTTGAGCGAGCTCAAGCCCACGTTCTCACAAACTCGCACGCTGGATCGGCGGATTCCGAGAAGTGCCAGGACATTCCATCAGGATTTTTTTGGAATGCATATTGCGCCGGATGTGCGGGAGGAGGAGGGCCAGAGTTACGCCCACCTTTTCCAGGTCCCCCTCACACGCCCTTACCATAATACATGCTGTATGATTTTCTCTGCAGGAGTGCCCCCTTGCAAGACGAGAGCGCCATGGCTCTATAATTCAGGTGATAACCCCATCTTGAAAAGGAGTTGCCATCCATGCTTCTGCCTTTCAAAGACGGCGGCGAAGTAGGATCAGAGAGCCCCAGGAAGAGTGCAGCGATAGCCCCGGTTCGAAAAAGAAGCGCCCTCAATCCAATGCTATCCAAAAGAGTTTGGCCATGAAGCAAAATACAGTCTTAAGCGAGGTCCCTGATTTGAAAAACAGCCGTCATCCATCCGAGTAGCCCTTGACCATGTTTAAATTCATGATCGTACCGGTCAATCAAGCAAATCGTATGCGACATATTTATGTTGAAAAGGAACCGTCCTGCACCTGTGCAAGTGTTGGACACTCTTAGGACGAATGCGCGCGGCGCCCAGGCGTTGACCGCATTTTGAACATCACCCTATCTTCCCGTCTAAGTACTTACTGGATACATATATGTATGTGTTCTCTCTCTCTCTCTCTCTAGATATATACATATAGAAGACAAGTGTGCGCGGCGCTCAGGCGAGAACCACATCTTGAAAAGGAGCCGCCATCCATCCGTGCAACCTTAAGAAGCGCGTGTTTGTTTAGACGAGGGTGCGCGGCGATAAAGCGGAGCCACATGTTGAGAACGGCCCGTCTCCACCGGTGTAATTGATGGAACCTATTCAGACGAATGTGCGCGATGCTGAGGCGAGAGCCACATGCTTCATCCTCCATCCGTCTAAGTGTCGGTCTTTTTTTCAGGTTTGGGGATCGCTAGCAGGGAGGAAGTCTCAGGCGAAACGCCCGGCCCGCCCTACCGACACGTCTGGTGGTCATACGGAGTTATCTAGAAGTAATATAGATGGAGGTGGAAGAAGGGTAGAAGGCGGAGGAGGAGGAGGAGGGGATGTGAGGACCCCCCATGTCGTACCACGGGCCAACAGTGATCCGTGTTCCCTCGGTCGCCCAAGGTCTTCTTCTGCTCCAACTGCAAGCCGATGTCGAGGGCGGGGAAGGGCCGACTGCAGCCTTCGGACTGGCGCGGCTTGCGCACCCAGCAGTGCTGCGACTGCGCTGTCCTGCAGAGCCGCGGGATCGGCAAGGGGCTGGGCAAGGGCATGGGCAGGACGAAGGCATTTGGCAATTGCCGCGAGTGCGGCAAGCCTGGCCATTGGGGTAATGAGTGCAAGGCTCGGGGGGAAAAGGAGGAGGGAGGATAACGAAAACGACAAGGAGGAGGAGGACGGAGGACGGAGGGCGGAGGAGGATGGAGGAGGCGGACGGAGGAGCGACGAAGGAGGGACGAAGCAAGAAGAAGAGCGGAGGGAGGAGGAAGAGGAGGAAGAGGAGGGGTCTGGCACCACGAAGACGACATCCCCAAGCCTAACATGGAGGCATTTCCCGGTCCACAACCTTAGGACATTTGCAAAAGTTGAGCTCGCGTCATATCCGATGGCTTCGTCGGGAGCCGACGGTGCGCGACAACCTAGGGTCCCAATGGACGCGCCTAAGAAGCGCACAGTCTCCACCCATCTGCTTGATCTCCGCAAGCCCATCCAGAAAGGCTTGCGCAGGACTTCACCTGGTCCAGGCACGATCGAGCGCCTACGACAGCGCACGGGAGCCAGGGAACCAACTGCCATTGGCATGGCAGGGCACTCGTTGTGACATCGACGCGGAGGTACAAACTACAGAAAGTGCGACAACGGCGTAACTTCAGCAACAAGACAAAGACGATTGTTTCCCGTTTGGTTGGTATGACATGACAGCCGCGGGGGTAACACCTAATCGGCATGAGTAACGTCCCCTCGCTTGTAGCGGGTTGTTTGCTACATGCCACCGCCAGGTCGCGGCCCAGCTTTTGCAAAGGAAAATTGCCAATTCAGATGACGCATCGGCCCGCAGTCGCGCACCCCGCCTCTTGACACCGCAAGTGCTCGGTAGTTTGTCTCTCCCGTCCCACAAAGTCGGGAACTTTGGGACAGCGTGTCGCTCCGCCTGTTCTGGCCCACCACGCTTCGGTGCCGCACGTTGTCCCCATTGCGGTCTCCAGGCGTCAATGTCCGGAGCCTTTTTGAGCCTCCCGCCCCGCGGAGCGGAGCGACACGCTGACCGCTCGCAGGGCATAGCGTGTCGTTTGGGCCCCCATGGCGACGCGCTATCCAAAAGTTCCCGACCGCATGCGCACGACTGCGCGCGACAGTTCTTCGCTCGTCGCGAACACCATGCTCGCTCCCCACGCGATTGACACCTCCTGAAGCGATCTCGCGACGGAGGCCGACGCGGACCTGGACCTGCGGTAGAGGCATCCGCTGCAGGTCGACGCGGGCTGCTCGCCCCCTGGGAGGATTTTCGAGCGCTGAGCCGTGTCGCGGACGGCCTCGGCAGCAATGGGCGCAGGACGTGCAGGAGATGACGCAGTACGTCTGGGAGCCACCTGGTGGTCTGAAGCATGCGTGTCGTTGTCTCCCCTCCTTCTCCTTTTTTTTTTTTTTTTGTTTCGTAGCCTTTTTTTTCAAAGTTAAAATCTAAAGAAAAATATAACAAAAACAAGTTGAACATATAGAAAAAAACACTTTTCCAGGGGATGTCAATGCTGCAGCCCATCGTGCCCGCGCGTCCCGCGGGAGGCTCGCCTGCGTGTGTGAGCCGCGTCGCGGCGTGCCACAGGTGCTCCCTCGTCGGCTTCCCTGCCGTGACCCGGCACACTGCTTTGGCGTGCTGACCTCACCACCCACCAAACCACCCCAACCCAACCCGAAGGCCTCAATTTGCCCTCCATTTTCAGTGGGGGGGGGTCGGGGAACATTGAAAAAGCACAGATGGAACCCTTACCCCCCCAACCCGAAATTCGGGTCTTCGGGTTGGGTTGGGGTGGTCTGGTAGGTAGTCAGCTCTTCCACCTCGGCCATCCCCGAGTACCGAGTATCCCGCGGCGGCTTCTGCTGCAAGCGGAACGAGGCTGTCGGCTTCGGTTTCGGCAGCCGCTTCTTGCTGCTGCTCTCTGTCAGCATCGGCTGCTTTGCTCCGTCGGGAAAGCTGGCCCACCTGCGGGCGCTATGCCTGGGAGTTGAAGGTGCAGGAGGAGAAGGAGGAGGAGGACGACGACGACGAGGAGGGAAACGACGACGAGGAGGAGGAAAACGACGATGACGACGACGAGCAGCAGGGGGCCATCGGCCTTGTGAGTTTCCGCTGAAGCCTTGTGAAGGCCGCGCTGGGGGCTGGGGGGTCCGTGTACCGTCTTCCCATGTAGCTCCCCAGAGGCAACGCCGGAGGAGAAGGCCAGGCACCGTGACACTGTGCAGTAGGAGGAGCTCGCTAGCCCGCTACGGTTTTTTGCAGCTGCCTGAAGGAGCGCTACTAGGACCGAGGAGGATATGGAACGCAGGAGGGTAATGAATTGATAGGAAACAGGGAGGAAGCAGGGGAGAATAATGGGAGGGGGAGGAAGTCGAATGACGAGGGAGGGCAGAGGATGGGATAGGAAGGCGAGTGAGCGAGGGGAGATGGAAGATGAGACATCTGGGTTGCGGGCATCACAGGAAGCTCGGGCCCAGCACCTACCAGCCGCAGCGCGGCGCAGCTGCGGCCAGGACGATGGGAACATCCAGGCAGGCCAGCGGCAGAGAATCCTGGATGATCGGAGCATCCAGGCAGCAGGCGTACAGGCGTACAGCTTGCCAGGGGCAGAACCTGCGGGGTGCCCTTTGCGGCCACACGTGAGATCGACCCCTCGCCTGAGTGACCTTTGGTGCGCGGTCTTCGGGTGGCGCGGGCGGGGGGGGAGGGAACCCGATCACGCAGGTCACGTCGCGCGCAACGATCGGCAAGGCGCGCGCCAACCGGCATTCATGCATAGGGTCACCCTTGCGTTTAGCCGGCTCTTGCCAAAAGGTTCGCGCACGCAGTGTCACCTCTGCCATGTGTACAGGACTGGCTGTAGGACGCATTCTGGCCGCGAGCGCGAGCAAAACCACAACTCTGACATCCTGTTGCTTCCAGCAGCGCTCCTTCCGTCACCGATCGGCTCCTGGTGTTCTCCGAGAGGGAAGTGGGATAGTTGAGGAGGGTCAAGGAGGGGGAGGAGAAAGAGGAGGAGGAGGAGGAGGAGGAGGAGGAGGAGGAGGAGGAGGAGGAGGAGAGGGGGGAGGAGGGAGGGAGGGAGAGGAGGAGGGAGGGAGGAGGAGGGAGAGGAGGGAGGAGGAGAGAGGAGAGGGAGGAGGAGGAGGAGGAGGAGGAGGAGAGGGAGGAGGAGGAGGAGAGGGAGGAGGAGGAGGAGGAGGAGGAGGAGGAGGAGGAGGAGGAGGGAGGAGGAGGAGGAGGAGGGAGGAGAGGAGAGGGAGGAGAGGGAGGAGGAGAGAGGAGAGGGAGGAGGAGGAGGAGGAGGAGGAGGAGGAGGAGGAGGAGGAGTAGACCGTGAACACGTCAACGATGATACATTCCACCATCCCGTCCCAAATCCCTTCACCCTTGATTCATCAATACGGGAAGCGCCCCCTGAAAGATTTGGGTGACAATCCCACATCAGACACGCCGGCATGCTCATTTACGCGCTTTCCCGCGCCCTGGAGGCATCCCTCGGATCAAATAACCCAATTTTTCCTTCCATACCCCGCTTCCTCTCCTCGGGGAGGGGGCCTTCGGAGTGGCTGAGGGGATGGCTGAGGAAATGGCTTGGGGGGCAGCTTGGGGATGGCTGGAAGGTTGCCGTGGGGTGGTTGGCGGGATGGATGGGGAGATGGCAGGGGGGTGGCTAGGAAATGGGCTGGCTGGTGGGTGGCTTGGGCTCAGGCTCTGACATACTGGGCTCGATGCTTGCTCGCTTGGCTCGGGCACTCCCCTCCTTCCCTCTTCTGGGCCTCGAGCGGGCGGAACTGGGCAGACAGTTCTCTCCTTCTGCCGAGCCTGTCGCTGATGGGGGCCAGGGCCCTCAGCCACAGCTGGAAGGGATGGATGGGGGCTGGCAAGTGAGCGGCTCGTTGTTAGCTGCGGGATGGCTTGGAGGCGGATGGGCCTCTTCTTACACCGATCATACAATTTGGGAGCCTCCTCGAGAGGTATTGAGTATTGAGCCGCCTTTTGACCGTCTAAGGGGCGCCAGAGCAGAGGGCCTCGAACAACCGTTCAGCAAATCGGACGATCGGGGTATCATTCCCTCGCCACTAAGAAGATCATTCCCGCGTCTATACGGAGGCTGTTGCCACGACGATGAGGGCGTTATTCCTGAGCCTTTATCATGCACAAGTTGGCACATGTATCTAATGGCTTTTGGTCCATCCCTCCACCGTGCTTGGGTCGTGGATGCGTTCGGGAGGGCTCTTGCGGGCCTTCGGGGGGCCTCTGGGCGGCGTCTTGGAGGCCTCCCTGGTGCCTCTCTGGGGGCATCTCGGGTTCCCAGTTAGGCTTGCTGGAGGGCCGATTGACGGTCTCGGGGGTCATGTTGGGGCGCAGGGCTCGAAATGTCAGTTCGTGTTCCCCCTTTGAACCTCTCTTGGGGCCCTCTTGTGGCCGTCTTGGCCCGTCGTGGAAGCTTCCTGGGTCGTTTCGGTGGCCTGTTAGGCCATCTTGGTGCTCTCGCGGTCTTCGGGGCCTCTCGGGCCGCCTTGTAGCGTCGGCACCTTGAAAAGGCGAGAACGCTCAAAGTCGTCAAAAGCCAATGGAGAAATTCAAGGATTTGAGCCTCTTGGAGCGCTCTTGGGCGGCCTCTTGGACCCTTCGTATGGCGGATCAGGAGGCCTCTTTGGCCGACTTGGGTCCGTCGCGGGTTGTGTTTATGCTCTAATGGGCCGTCTCGGCGCTCTCAAGGACCGTCTTGGGCGTTTCTCGGGAGCCTCTTGCAGGTTCGTCGGGTCGTTCTGGGCGGGTTCACTGTCCCGGAGGCCGACGCGACACGCCCCAAAAGCACCCACGAGCGCCCAGGAATTCCAAGAACATCTGGCCCATCTGAGTTCTACAAGTCGCCAAACTCGAACACGGCATGAGGCTTGGGGCACTCCACTTCCACGCACGCACGCGCACGCGCAAACGAACGCACGCCACGACATCTGCGCGGCAGACCGACAAAAGAGCATGCTTCACACACCCAGTGGACAAAAGCGACGCTTCCCGTTCTTGTCCGGCTACGTAGGTTCGCTAGGGACATCCTCAGAAAATGAGCGGCAGCACGGCAGACCAGAAAAAGAGAACGGCAGAAAATGTGCATTTTTGTGGGGACATCTTCAGCAAAATGAGATGCTCTCAACATCGTCTTGACATCGTTCTTGAAGTGCTTGAAGATGAAGAAATGAGAGCCCAACGATGCCCCCAAGATGGCTCCAAGAGCGCCCTGAAGGCGCCCTGAAGGCCGCCGAAAATGACGATTTCGCCAGGGGACATCCTCAAAAAAGAGATGCGCGTGACATCGCACTGGCATCATCCCCCAAGGCATCGAGACGGCCCCAAACGAGGCCCAAACGAGGCCCAATATGACCCCTAGAGCGCCCTCGAGATTCCTTAAAATGCGCATGTCGTTAAAGACATCCTCACAAACATGAGTGATTCGCAACATAGTCTTTTACCAAACACGCGTTTCGCCTGAGAAATCCACCAGAAAATGAAAGTCGCGAGTTCATGAACCTATGAGACTGGAGCTATCGCCTGAGACATCCTCGAACACATGAAATGTTGCAAATGTTGATTTAAGACAAGGCGGATCACACATATCATACGGGAGCACGGCAGAACACAAAAGCACAGCAGAACACAAAAGCACGGCAGAACACAAAGGAGAGCAAGCAGCACGGCAAACACACAGAACACAAAGGAGCAAGGCAGAACGCACAGGAGCACGATTGAACACGTAGAAGCACGGCAAACACATGAGCACGGCCGTCCGCCCCCCTGGAGGTGCTGCACTGCAGCAGCAGATCCGCCAAGTCGGGGTGAGGCTTGTCGGCCGACTCGGCGTGTGGCGCGAGCTCCTAGGGGAGCAGGCGGCCTGCCGAGTCGACGGGGGTCGGCGGGAGGCAGAGAGCTCCTAGAGGGGAGCGGGCGCTGGCGGCGGCTGCGCGTGGCGGTCGTCTTCGGCGGGCTCTCTTGTGCGAGCTGTTCTGAGGCACGGCCTCGCTTAGTCCATGGCGGCGTTCATGCCGCTAGTGATTTGGACGCCGCCCTTCGGGTGTCGACACAAAGGAGCACGGCAGAATGCGCGGCAGAACACACAGGAACACGCCACAACACGCAAAACGCACAGGAGCATGGCATAACGAGCAGGAGCACGGCAGAACATACAGGAGCACGGCAGAGCGCGCAGGAGCACGGCAGAACACACAGGAGCACGACAGAACCCGCATGACCATCCGTAGCCATTTTGGCTCAGGCCAGGTTGGCTCAAGGCTCCATGCGGGGTCCCCTGAGCTCGGCATGGTGGCTGCGGGAGAGCCCCACCGTGGGGTGGCCGGTGCGCGCGCGTCCGCCGACCGGCTCATTTTCAAGTTGAAGAACATGTTGGTGGCCGCTGACCGCAAGGCTCTCGCCTTCGAGTCTGCGCTGCTGCACCTCTTCGGCGACGCGGAGGTTGCGGAGAGGGTCGCCTGTATTCTCCCTGCCCTCACGTCCCTCCTCGCGGGCGAGCGGCCCGAGGCGCTGGACATCCTTCGGCGCAACGTGGCGCACCACTCCGAGGGGCCCTGCGGCGTGTCTCTGGTCTCAGCTGGCCATGCCGAGCTGCGCAAGGCCCAGAAGCACGCGCGTAGGCTCGAGGCGAGGAGGGCGGACACCCAGCCCGCGGCTCACGTGCTGTTGCAGGGCTCCCCGCCCCTCGTGGCCGAGAGCGGGCTCCGTCGTGACGCGCCCCCTTTCGTCCCGAGCTCGGGCTGCTGGGTGCCGCTGGACGGCTGCGGCCGCCTCTGCACGTGCGGCGCGACGTGCTACTCGTCGTGCTCCCCGCTGCCGCGCTCTGTTGAGGAGGTGTTCGAGGATCACGGCGACGAGGACTCTCCGTTTGGCGAGGCGGCTGCTGCTGAGTTTCCGACCAGGGGCGCCCCCCCCGCCCTGGTCGACGGCTCTGAGGGGGTGAGTGGGGCCGCGGGCCCGCCGCAGGGCGCCGTGCCAGTTTCGCAGCCTGGCACTTCGGCATCTCGTCGTGCCCCTGGCTGGTGGCTGGCGCGCGCGGCAGTCGCCAGAGTCTGGCTGGGACCGTCGCTGGACGAGGACGCCGTCCCCGAGGCTGCGGGCGGTGTGCTGCGGGCGCGGAGAGTCCGCTTTGCAGATGCCCCGCGCGTTTTCGAGATTGGGAGCTGCTCGGGCATGCGTGGTATTCTTCGGCGGG